GTTTGCATTTTTATAGCATACATTTTGTTCATGGATGTACTACGGACACAATGCTTCCTTTTGTATTTCTGAAGATGATAATTATTGTTGTTATTATTTAGTTTTCTTCTGTTCCTCATATCTGTTGTTTTTATTTTCCCTCAGTGTTTTTTTTTTAAAAAACATGTTATTTTGGTTTCTGCCTTTTAGGCTAGCGCTTTTGTTCAAGTGCTTCGGGGTTTAGTTATCTGTTTATATTTTGGTGAAACACTAAGATGATGATTGGGAAGTCTGAGATCTTGAAATGGGCTTATACATTAGTAGGCTCACTTAGCAATAAAGGGGCCCTTTACCCTCAGTGGAGGTCCCTAAATGGATGGATCACTTGGCCTTTTCTCTTGGGCTGATCGGTTTTCTCAAAAAGAAATCCTATAGTATCCAGCCATGGGAGAAATAATTACTTTGGAAATGAACTGAGGGACTGAGGTGGGGGATGGTCTCCCCAGTAAATCCGTGGGCTTTAACTTAATCTCCCACTTTTTGTTATCATGACTTCTCTGCATCCTCCACTGCGGGGTGGGAAGGGTTTGTAAGTCCAGATCTTCTCAATCAAGGTCACCCTTTCTAGAAGAGCAAATCTCTAGTTCTCTGCTGGCTCTCAGGGTAGAATCTTGGCTGCATGGAGAAGCTGCCCTGAAAATCTTTCTCCCTTTAAAGAGTTTCAACCTTTACCTCCATCTTCATCTCCACCTTATACCTAAAGGGTCTTTTGTCAAATTCACATTTCTGTTCCCTTCTGAGATTCTACGGGATAAATAGGTCTCAGTTTAAGGATTTCTGTCTTGACTTTGCCAAGTCTCCTTCAACTGCTTTCCAGCTTCCTAATTTGCTAACATCTCTCACCTCTGTTGTTTTTTTCCTTGCTCACTTTGTCCTTTTAAAGAATGTATCTTTCTTTTAAAAATTAAGTGACATTAAGAAGGAAGTGAATGAAGACTGTGTTCAATGCACCCTGTGTCTTTATTCATGTAGACAGCATGGTCACTGGAAGAGTCTTTCTTCTTAGTTTTGGTTGAGATACAGCCCACACGTGTTATCTTATACTAATTATGGTCCATCTCATTTTCACTCGTGCCAGTGTTCTGTTTTCTCTAATTTCAAGTGAACTGAAACGTGTTGTTTTTGCTTCCCGTAACTGCAGCCTCCAAACATTGGACCACAGGATCACAGCTTTTCCTTTCCTTCTCTAGACTGTCTTCTCCAAGCCACACATCCCCAATTCTTTTTTTTTTTTTTTTAACTTTTGGTGTCCTAAATTGCTTTAATTTCTCTTGAACTTTTCATTTTATATTGGGGTGTAGCCAATGAACAACGCTGTGACAGCTCAGGTGAACACTGAAGGGCCTCACCCACGCGTGCACAGGTACTGAAGGGTCTCACCCACACGTGCACAGGTACTGAAGGGTCTCACCCACACGTGCACAGGTACTGAAGGGTCTCACCCACGCGTGCACAGGTACCCCTTCTCTCCCAAGCCCTCTCCTGTCCAGGCTGCCACCTAGCTTTGAGCAGAGTCCCCTGTGCTGAAACGTAGGTCCTTGCTGGTTATCCATTTCAAATACAGGAATGTGTGCATGTCCATCCCAAACTGCTTAACTGTCCCCCTCAGCATCCATAAGTTCATTCTCCATCACTCTTTTGCAAATTCTTTTGTATCATTTCTTTTTAGATTCTGCATATAAGGGATATTAAATGGTATTTCTCCTTCTCTGGATTACTTCACTCAGTATAACAATCTAGATCCATTCACGTTGCTGCAAATGGCATTATTTCATTCTTTGTAATGGCTGAGTAATATTCCATCGTGTATATTTACCACATCTTCTTTTTCCATTCATCTGCCAAAGGACATTTAGGTTGCTTTCATACCTTGGCTATTGTTAAATATTGGTGCAGTCAACACTGGGGTGCATGTATCCTTTTGGATCATGTTTTTCTCTGGAGATATGCTCAGGAGTGGGATTGCAAGGTAATATGGTAGCTCTATTTTTAAATTTTTAAGGAGCACCCATACTCTTCTCTGTAGTAGCTGTACCAATTTACATTCCCACCAACACTGTAGGAGGGTTCCATTTTCTCCACACCCTCCCATTTTATAATTTATTGTTCATTTATTGTTTGTGGATTTTTTGATGAAAGCCATTCTGGCTGGTGTGAGGTGATATCTCATTGTAATTTTGATTTGCAGTTCTCTAATAATTAGCGACATCTCTAGTTCCCTGACAGCTCACTTGGTAAAGAATCCGCCTGCAATGCAGGAGACCCAAGTTCAATTCCTGGGTTGGGACGATCCACTGGGGAAGGGATAGGCTACCCACTCCAGTATTCTTGGGCTTCCCTTGTGGATCAGCTGGTAAAGAATCTGCCTGCAATGAGGGAGACCTGGGTTTGATCCCTGGGTTGGGAAGATCCCCTGGAGAAGGCAAAGGCTACCAACTCCAGTATTCTGTCCTGGAGAATTTCATGGACTGTATACATCATGGGGTTGCAAAGAGTCGGACACGACTGAATGACTTTCACTTTGTAGTTCTTTTGACTTTTCTGGTCTGACTTAATTTAGTTTCTCTTTACTCTTTTGCTAACCCTCCCCTCAAAGAGCTTTAGTTCTTTGAGGTTTCTCTTAAAATGTAACCCCCAACCTCCTGGCATGGCTTGGTAAATCCAGGATATGGCAATATTATTCTTAGACTCTCTGCCTCTGACCCACTACCAGGTCTGGTCTGGGGAGCAGAGACCTTGGCATCTAGGGCTGGACCTGAAAGAATCTTCCCAATAGAAAGAATGCAGTGTACTATAGTGTAGCATCCTGCAAACTAGAAAATTACCAGTGGTCTGAAGATTCTTGCTACACATTTGAAAGTTTTATGTCTGTACACACATATGTATGTATGTTATTCTGGTAGGTATATGTATAGTTTTTATATGAATTAAGGGTCATACAGATGACTGCCTGTAACTGAGTACCATCCTCAGCCACATTTCAAACAGTGGCTACATATGACGACTGGCTGTCATTTTGCAGAGCACCTTGTACATTTCTAAGGTTGCAGAAAGTTCCATCAGGTGGTGTTGCAACACAGACCTTGTGGTGCATTGTTCATGGGTTATGTTGGCCTCGATGGAATTACTTTGTCATGTGCAAAAGAGCTGAGGTGTGCTTGCGAATTTATGACAAATGAAGGTCAAATGCATCAAGACACATAACTGATTCCTCTTTTATAATTACAGTAGGGAAAAGCAGTGGATGGACTGAGTCATCACACTGTGTGCATGAGGTCATATAACCATGATAAACGCAAAAGATTTTACACTGTGGTCATCAGGACACAGTTACATTGGGAGTATTGATTTAGTTTCAGTCTTTTGATGTCATTGTCATGTAAAATTAGTGTTGTTAATTTTAATATTGTTTTTTATCATTTACTTGCATTAACTTTTACAAACCACATCTTTGGTTTTATAGTTATGTACGATCAATCAGGTTGAGTTTATGTTTTTTTGTGTGTGTGTTTGCTTGTTTATATTTAAGTTTGGTCCCCTCCTTTGGTGATAGAATTCAGATAGAATTAATTCAGATAGAAATTATTCTGATGGAATTATTTTTCCCATGAAAGAGGTCTCTAGATTCTTTGTTGGGAATATTATAACAATAATATAGTGTTATAACAATAATATAGTATAATAACAATGTTGATGGATTAGTGGCTGCCTAGTATACATTAGGTGGTCTTCTAAGAGCTCTGCAAGTTATATCTCATTTACTTCTCATCATGTCCCTGTTAACATTGGCCCTGTTGTCCTCCTCCGAGACATGAGGGCACTGGGGCCCAGCATTTAAGTGGCCAGTTCAAAGTTATGTGGTGGTGAAGCTGGGGTGTGAATTGGGCAGTCTGACTCCAGAACCCAGTTGCTTGGCCTTGATGCAGCGTCTGATAGAGGGCACAGGTGTTGCAATCAAATGCTCTGTTTTTTTACAGACTCTGGGCAAAATATAGAATCTTTCCAAGCCTCAGTGTCCCTATTTATAAAATGGGAGCGATTATACTGTCCTTATAGGGTTGTTCTAAGTGGAAAAAATGTCTACAAAGCCCTTAGCACGGTACTTGGCAAGATGTTTCCATAAGGAAATCTTTGACTTCCCATTTGCCAGCTGGGGGCTGGCCCAACAGCCACATCAGTCAATGAAGTGACTGCATTCTCATGATGAATTCTACTCCTAAAGCTTCATCAACAAGAGAAATGATACAGAAGGCAGAGGACTTGGAGACGGAAATATACGCCTTCCCGTCTCCCTGGGGGATGTCACCCCACCTGCCAGATGGGCCCCCAGAGCAACTCACACCCTCTGAGTGCGCTTCTCTGACAGTGAGTCCTGGGCTATACACGAACTGCCTCGGGAGGTACCTACTCCAGCCCCACGGGGCTCTGGACTCTGGTTGTTCAAGCCTGCTTTCAACTCTTGTCAATTTAAAAGGCAGAATATGGAGGGAGCGTCCTCAAGCAGTGTCTCCTGACGCGGCCACAAAGGCCTCATGCAGGAGGTTGGAGCTTCAGCTGGGCCTTGTGGGGAGGTCAGTTGGTTTTGGGGTTGTTTAAAAGATGTGAGAGGGCCTTTCAGGCTGCTAGGAGAACATGAGTGAAATTCTGGGCCAGGAATACACAGTAGGTATGCAGGAACTGTGACTCAGCCTATCTGATGCTAATAGCAGTGTGGTTTGATGTGTAAGGATTTAGCTAATCTCTGTCTTTGTCTCACTCACATACACACACACCCACCCCAGAGACACATTCAGGGCTCTCTGGGCTCAGGGCTTTGGGGGAAACATGGAGAAATAGGCAGCCAGGACTCTTCCCCGTTGTCAGCCTTCATGGAAACCAGCCAGCATCGCTGCAGGAATGGCGGCATCCAGGAGGTAGAGTTCTGGGCCCGCCTTCGGACTGCGGGCCCCTCCTCTGCCAAGATGGCTCCCGGAGTGAATGAGAGTGGGTTTGGTGAGGTAAAGGGCCTACACAGGGTTGACCTAAGGGCTGTCTTCAAAATACCCCACAGCCTACGGACCCCTCGATAACTCCAAGATGTTAGAGCAACTTCAGGTGCACACAGGACAGGTCGTTGGCTCTTGGTCACTGATCCAGGGGTTACGGGGACAGACCAAGCCCTCCTTCCTTGCCTCTTCGGTTGCTCTCTATCTCCCAGCTTCTGCTCTTCATCCCCTTTCCTCCCTTGTGGCCTCTGGTTTGACATTTCCTCTCTTGCTCCACTGGTTTTTGCATCTTTCTAAAATTCCCCAAGACAGAGAATCTGATACCAAAGATTAATCAGTCCCTGTTGGGCAAAATACTTCCCACCAAGCCTTCTTGTCAACCAGCCGCACACATTGATGGGTGATCATAACTGGGTGCTTACCTATGGTCCAATGCATTCATTCATTGAGCAAATATTTATTAAGCCCCTTCCAGGGTGGCAGGGTCGGTGACAAAAGGCAGATCACTGAAGCAGCCGAGATCTCTCACAGGTGCTGTGATGTCACGTGCAACCTTATCTTGGCTTCAATACATGTTTGCGTGTAAAGAAACAGAACTCAGGGTAAAATGAAGCAAGAACCATTTCTTATATTTTTGGTCTACCATCCATTCAAACCTGCTTTGTGGGGCTAATTCTTCCAGCTTCTGAAGTCTCCTAGGTCCTGTGACTTTTCTGGTTATTTTTAGGTGATTGAAAATGTCCTCTGGTCACTTCTAGTCTTCCCTTGAGCCTCATTTCAACAACTTAACTGTGTGGTGTCATGCATGAGTACTGAGTCTCTTCAGCTGTGTCCGACTCTCTGACCCCATGGACTGCAGCCCGCCAGGCTCCTCTGTCCATGGGATTCTCCCGGCAAGAACACTGGAGTGGGTTGCCGTGCCCTCCTTCAAGGGATCTTCCCAACCCAGGGGTCGAACCCAGGTCTCCCACATAGCGGGCAGATTCTTTACCATCTGACATGAGATAATTGCAAATCCATTCAAAGCGTCTGTTCTCTCTCCTCTGGTTCAGGTGGGCTGAGTGTGCTGCATGGATGAGAAGGAGAGAAACAGGCAGGCTTCCTCTCCAGGCTTCATCGCTTACCCAGGCTTATGTTGTCTTTTCTGGCTCAGTAACCATGATTTCTGCCCTCTGCCCTCTCTCCCAAATCGGAAGAGGGTAAGTAAAGAGGAAGGACTGGCAGGAGAAATCTTCCTTGTCTTGGGCTGTCTGAGTGGATCCTGGCATTTCCTGGGCAGGGCAGGTGATAAAAGCTGATGCCTCTTCTCCTGGGAGTCGTGGGTGAGTCTACCCAGGACGGATGCTCTGAATCCTGAAATCTGTGACTACACTTTCTGGACACATGCAAAGGCCCGTCCCCTCTGGCTGCCCGTGTCCAGCTGCCACTTCTACACCTCAGCATCAATGGGCAAAGCCCCAGTTGAGCAGCTGCGCCGTGTGGTCCTGCTAACAAGCAAGTTAAGAAACTGGCGCAGTATCACTGGCCCTGGACCAAGATTCTTAAAGCATTTAACAAAAAATACCAAAACTCCACAACTTCCCAACCAAGGACCAAACCCTAGAGAGTAACTTCTTTAAGAACCCCTTTCTTTTGGTGTAGAAGGTGTAAAGGTTTTTAAACTGTATGTTTTAAAAATTTTATTTATTTTATAATATAATTGCATGACTTTTCACACCTAAAAATAGCATCACCCTTAATGGCCCACATCTTTTGCACAGGAAGTACCCATGCCTCCTCATTTGTCCACATGAGCAGGGAAGGCTCCCTTAGAACAGCTGAACTCTTGAATCCATGTCTTCCTAAAAGAAACCCAGATGTCCCTCTCCCAACACCTTTGACTGGGGCCCAAGGAAACGTTCTCATTTCTGTTGGCAAGATTGAGTCCATATGGAAGTACAGCATGGGAGAGATTTGGGGGTGCTGTTAAGAGGTCCAGGCCTCCATGAGACCATCTCTCCATGTTTCTTTTCCCTAGACGTGGAACAGGTGAGGCCAGGTGTGACTTCCGAACTTGAGAGTTGGTGTAAAAGTCTTTATATCCCTGATGGGGAGATACAGCAGGAAGGCTGAGTACAGTCTGGAACAAAGCAAGACTGGATGCTGAGAAATCTGGGTTCTAGTCTCCACTTGGTGACGATTTTCTGTGTCTCTGAGTTTCAGATTCCTAACCTTTTTTTTTTTTTAATTTGATTGGAGGATGGATAAATGCAGAGTTGTTTTCTGCCAGGCAACAACATGAAGCAGTTGTAGGTATACATATATTCCCCGCTTTGTGAACCTCCCTCCCACCTCCTACCCTTCTAGGTTGTCACAGAGCACCAGGTTGAGTTCCCCAAAATATTTATTTATTTGGCTGTGCTAGGCCTTATTTGCAGCATGTAAACTCTTAGTTGCAACATGTGGGATTTAGTTCCCCGACTAGGGATTGAACCCAGGCCCCCTGCATTGGGAGCGTGGAGTCTTAGCCATTGAGCCACCAGGGAAGTCCTGATTCCTCACCTATCAGATACATTTACAATCCAATTTCAGAAGCCTTTTGTAAGAAAAGAGTTTGATGTGAAAGTCCTTTGTACAGTCTAAAATAGGAAGCAAATAGTAATATCATTAGTCATCCAACAGATTCACCATTTATTAAAACTTGATTATGAATTTGACATGATTTTGGCCACTGTTTGCGAAGGGGACTGCAGAGTTGGACGTTACTATTTCTGAGAGCCGACTCTCAGAAGTGTCTCCTGCTGGGGTCCTGGTGGGGGTCTCTGGGTAGCAGGTGAACACTGGGTATCTGAGCGGGGAGCGTGCAGGGGCCCAGGTTGAGGAAGGGGGTGCTGAGAGGGGAAGAGGGGGCCCACAGGTGCCCTCATGCCTGCAAAGGGTGGAATCGGGGAGTATCTGTGTGTGTGGAAAGTATTGCTCACCAACCTTTGTGGCTGCTCAGGATTTTGATTCAGACTAGAACCAGAAAACGCTCAAACTTAAAGGGCCCTGAGATAGCATCTTTCTGACCCTCCCTCATTTTGAGGCCCCTGAGGACTGAATGACTTGTTCAGAGTTTCACAGTGAACTGGAAGCAGAGCCGTTTCGGAACCGCTGACCCAAACATTTCCAGTCCTCCGTCTACACGCTTCCCTTCCCGCTGCCGTCCCCCGAAGGCCATCCTCCACCCTCTTCCTCCTCCAGGTGGGCGCGTTTGGCAAACACCTGAGCTTTTCATCAGAAGCCGGGAAGAAGCAGTATTGCCTTTCCATGGATCTAGAGCTCTGGAGTCTTACATTATTTTCAGAACAAGGGACCCCCATGTCCACACCTGTGCTTCTGAGAACAGGCACCTATTTTCTCCTCATTAGGTGAGGTTCTCAGTGTTCATTACAGAAGGGTCCATTTTAAACAAAATACCAAAGTAGCCTCAATATAGTCATAATCATTTCACAGCACGCCTGTCAGATCATCAACCTGCTTTTATTATTGCCTTACAGTAACTGGTGTATCCCAAACCCTTGGCTCCCTGCAGTATTTCATTTTCCTCATCAGACTTTTCACAAGTCTGCTGTTAAGTTTCATATGCATTTGTAGGTTACCCCTCATGTAGGTCATTGTGGTACAAAAAATGCAAAAAAAAGCAAGCAAATCATCAGAGTGGCTGCACCATAGGGTAGTTTGAAGTTGGAGATGCTAACTTTACCTGATTGTTCTTTCATTCTAGTTATTTTTTCAGGTTTTGACTCCAGCACATAATTAACCTGGCTTTTTCTGCATATTCTTTTCCCAGCCCAAGATCAGACAGACCAGCACAGTTTCCTCTCTCACAGTTTCCCCTCCCTCACTGATCAGGGGGTAGGAGCATCCTAGTTATGGATAAGCCAATGCTTTCAATGTCTTCTTTACTGTTCTGATATGAAACCCTACGTAATAATCCATCCCCTGCAGAATTCCTCATTTCCTCCAATTTGATCGTCTGCCTCTTGGTCTTGGCAAGTCACTTCACTTTTAATTAAGTTTATTTCCTTCTTTGCTTTGTCTTATGCAAGACTGGTCTAATTCAGAACTGTGAAGCGCTGGGCGTTATTTCTTTTATTATTACTTTTGTTAAATATTTATTTTTATTTACTTATTTGGCTGTGTCAGGCCTTAGTTGTGGCACACGGATCTTCACTGTGTCACGCAGGGCTCAGGCTAAGTTGCCCTGAGGCCTGTGGAATCTTAGTTCCCCCAGCAAGTATCGAACCCATGTCTCCTGCATTGCAAGGCAGATACTTAGCCACTGGACTGCCAGGGAAGTCCCACCGGACTTTATTTTTGATAGAGTGTCAGAGGATTTCCAGTTGCACAGTGAGTTAGGGTAGCAACTAAGAATCACAAGAAACACACCTTGTATCACAAAATCCTACCATGGAGAAGGAAATGGCAACCCACTCCAGAATTCTTGCCTGGAGAATCCTCTGTACAGAGGAGTCTGGTGGGCTACTGTTTGTGGGGTCACAAAGAGTCAGACATGACTGAGTGACTAAGCACCACATTCTGAAACCATGTATTTGGCAGGGAATAGAAATATGATTGGGAAAAAAATAGTAGGATAATAATATCTAGAGAAATTGGGTGGTGGACTTCTGGTGGGAAAAATCTGAAGACAATGCATAGACACCCCCCCCCACCCGCCCCCCCCCCCACACACACTGGTGATGGGTAATTTGGTGGCATGGGTTTTTATTGTTGCGCTCCACAGTTTTTTAATAAAAACGCATGGGATGGAATGATTTGAAATATTTTATGCCAGCCACTATCCTGACACTGACTTCCTCCTCCACCGTTAAACGTGTCAGCAGGCTCTTCGCTCACTGTGTTGCCATTTTGATGTGGTCTGTCTCTAGGGGGATGGTGGGGTACCCTCTGAGTGGTGTAGTAAGGTGGTTTTGGAGGAGAATGGTAAGCTGATTCAAAACAGGATTAGTAATTATAGGACTGCTGGCTCTGTGCTCATTTTAAAAACAGCTGTGTTATCTACTTTTTCATGGTTTGTTAGATTCTGAATTTTTAAAGTTAATTTTTACTGGAATATACTTGCTTTACAATGTTGTGTTTCTGCTGTATAGAAAAGTGAACCAATTATAATGCATATACATAAATGCCCTCTCTTTGGGGTTTCCCTCCCGTTTAGGTCACCACAGGGCACTGAATAGAGCAAATAGGTTCTTGTTTGTTACCTATTTTATATATAGAATCCGTAGCGTGTATGTGTTAATCCCAATCTCCTAATTCATCCCACCCCTTCCCCTCACCCCCATACATTAGTTCTCTACATTTGCATCTCTATTTACAGTTTGCAAATAGGTTTATCTATATCATTTTTCTTGATTCCATATATATGCATTGACATACAGTATTTGTTTTTCCTCTGTCTGACTTTGTATGATAGTCTCTAGGTCCATTCACATCTCTATAAATAACCCAATTTTGTTCCTTTTCATGGCTGAGTAATATTCCATTGTAAATATGTACCACATCTTCTTCATCTCTTCCTCTGTTAATGGACATTTAGGTTGCTTCCTAGATTCTGAATGTTAATGGTAGAAGAAAGGAAACTTACAGGACTTTATTGCCAAGTGGGTATCATTTCTCCATCCCATTTACCCACAGTCAGGATTGAAGTTCAAAATATCTAAACACCCTGACAGCATGGGCACTGGCCAATCAGAATGGATACAGTCTGCAAACAGCCCTTGTAAATTTATGGGGATTTATTAACTGAAAACCAACCCCACACTGGGTAATACACTCCTCTCTGTCATAGGTGAGCTTGGGTGCAAGGCCCGCAAAAGACACTTGAAAAGGGGTGATTGTCTTTAGTTAGATGCTGCCTGGAGCCGTCTGTGGGCGTGGAATCAGGTAAAGGTGAACAACAGCAAAACTAGCTTTAAGAGAACATTTAGCAGGGTATCGATCAGGTTTGCCCCTGGAGAGCTGGTTCTGACGTTGGTTGTGTCATTGAGTTGCTTGTTTTAGTGGGAGTAGGGGGTGTTCCCTGCTCCCTCGGCCTGTTCTCAGACATTTTCAGAGAAGTAGCCTGGAACACGTTTAGAGGCCAGGACAAGTCCCCCCAGGCCCCACATTTCAGAGGGCAGCAGATGGTTCCCCTGGGGCTGGCAGACACCTGGGCCATGCCTCTTTGCACTGCCCGGAACTCGAGTGGTGCATCTACAAGGAAGGTCAGGAGACTAGGCCCATTTACACAGCACAAAGGGAGGTGTTCACGCAGCCAAGTCACAGCCCGGGCCATTTGGCTTCTCAAAAGAAAGTATTTGACATCATAACCCTATGCTCTTTCCTGCAAGACCTTCCACCAGCAGTCCCCTGACAAGTGTTTTAGATGTCTGGGACGTATTTTTCTTTCTTCAGAATTTTATTTTATTGATATAAAGCTGACTTACAATGTGTCAATTACTTCTATACAGCAAAGTGATTCAATTAGACATATATATATATATACACACATACATTCTTTTTCATATTCTTTTCCATTATGGGTCATTACAGGATATTGAATACAGTTCACTATGCTATACAGTAGGATCTTGTTTAGTCATTCTACATAGAAGAGTTTGCATCTCCTAACCCCTACCTCCTGATGCACCCATCTCCTACTCCCCTCCACCTTGAAAACCACCAGTTTATTCTCTATGTGGACTTCTTTTTCTTAATTCCAGTTATTGCAGGAACCAAAGAACCATGATGGCTACTTTGTTGAAACTTTGGAGCAAGTGTGGATCATGCGAGTGTTTTTCTGGCCCCTCTGACTCTGCAAACATTGAAAGGGATTAGCCAACATATAGCTCAAGGAGTTGAATTCTGATAAAAGTATAAAAGCTTTAATATAGAGAACTTCTGATCTCTTGCTGGGCTCGAGCTCAAAAGAAATAAAATGACTCTAAGTTGGATGTCTTTTTAAACCAGAAGGGAATGGCTAAGCAGGCTCTGACGGCTTGGTGAACAGGACATTGGTGTGCGCGCTAAATTGTGTCTGACTCTCTGTGACACCATGGACCGTATCCCGCCAGGTTCCTCTGTCCATGGGATTCTGCAGGCAAGCATGCTGGAGTGGGTTGCCATTGCCTTCTCCAGGGGGTCTTCCTGGGGTCAAACCCGCATCTCCTGCGTCTCCTGCATGGAAAGCGGATTCTTTGCCTGCTGAGCCATTGGTGAACAGGGCACATATGTCTATTTTTTCTTGCTAAGTAAGTACCAAGGGTCAAGATTTCTGGGTAAGTCCCTGAGGGCAGTGAGGATGGTTCTGCAGTGTACTGTGAGGGTAGGATCAGCTGAGGAGGTGAGTCATAGGTTCAGGATAGAAATGTTGATAGTATAACATGCAGGCAGAGGGGAAAAGCCCGCATGAGCAAAGAATATACATCCATAAAAAGGGACTCAACCTTTCTAGCCCTGATGCCTTGTGGACCTGCTGGTACAAAGAGTTTAAGAGACACACATGCTCCTTCATTCATTAAATAAAACTTGCTGACACAAAATAAGCAGCTGTATGAAGCACCTATGTTGTTCAGTTGCCAAGTTGTGTCTGACTCTCTGCAACCCCATGGACTGAAGCACGCCAGGTGTCCCTGTCCCTCACCATCTCCTCGAGTTTGCCCAAGTTCATGTCTGTTGAATCAGTGATGCCATCCAACCATTTCATCCTCTGTCACCCTCTATCTTCATCCCAATTCCCAAGAAGGGCAGTACTAAAGAATGTTCCAACTGCTGGCCATTTGCATTCATTTCCCATGAAGCATGTATAAGGCTAGTTTAATATATAGAGATTACTTACCTCATTGTAATTATATTTTGAGTTTTTTTTAGGTAAAAAAATTCTCCAGCTTTATTGAGGTATAATTGACAAATACTGTCTGCCTGCTGGGTGTACATTTTGATGTTCTGGTACATGTATACCTTGTGGGATGGTCACCAGTTGAGCTGATTAACTTACCCTTTTTCTCACATACTTACCTCTTTTTTTGTGGTGAGAATGCTAAAGATCTCCTGTCTTAGCAAATTTCAAGTGTGCTATGTGGTACTGTTGCCTATAGTCACGTGGCTATACATTAGATTTCCACAGTGTATTCGTCTTGCATGACTGCAGCTCTATACCCCTTGAGCTGTATCTGCCCATTTCCCCTCCCCCAACCCCTGGAAACCCTGTTACTCTCTGCTTCTATGAGTTTTGACTATTTTAGATTCCACGTATAAGTGAGGCCATAGAGTATTTGTCTTTGTCTTACTTCACTTTGTATCATAACCTCCCACTTCAGCCATGTTAGCGCAAGTGGCAGGATTTCCTTTTTTAAGGTTGACTAATATTCCCTTATATATGTACACCATACTTTTATTTATCCACTATGGGCATTTAGGTTGCTCCCACATCTAGGCCATCGTCAACAGTGCTACAGTGAATGATGGAGTTCAAATATCTCTTCAAGATAGTGATTTCATTTCCTTTGGGTATGTACCCAGAAGTGGAACTGCTGGATCATGTTCTATTTAGTTCTGTTTTTAATTTTTTTGAGGAGCCTCCATACTGTTCTACAGAGAGGCTATACCAATTTACATTCCCACCAACAGTATATAAAGGTCCCCTTTCTTCCACATCCTAGCTGACAGACACTTCTTTTTATTTTGATGATGGCCATTCTGACAGGTGAGGTGATAGCTCTTTGAGGTTTTGGTTTGCATTTCCTTGATGATGAATGATGTTGAGCATCTTTTCATGGACCTGTTGGTCAGTTGTGTGCCTTCTTTTGGGAAATGTCTATTTAGATATTTTGCCTATTTTAACTTGTTTTTGGCTGTTGAGTTGTATGTTGGTGATTGTTGTTCAGTTGCTCTCATGTCCAACTCTCTGCGACCCCATGAACTGCAGCACGCCAGGCTTCCCTGTCCATCACCAACTCCTGGAGCTTGCTCAAACTCATGTCCACTGAGTCAGTGATGCCATCCAACTATCTCATCCTCTGTCGTCTCCTTCTCCTCCTGCCTTCAATCTTTCCCAGCATCAGGGTCTTTTCCAATGAGTCAATTCTTCGCACCAGGTGGCCAAAGTATTGGGGCTTCAGCTTCAGCATCAGTCCTCCCAGTGAATATTCAGGGTTGATTTCCTTTAGGGTGGACTGGTTGGATCTCCTTGCTGTCCAAGGGACTCTCAAGGGTCTCTGTCATATGAGTTCCTTATGTGGAGTGTTTTGGATATTAACCACTATCCACCCCTGCAGTGCTGGGGTGGGCCGCTCGGCCCCAAAACAGAGGAGCTGTGGCTGTGGGGATCCTCTTGGTGCTGAGCTGTACCAGTCTGAGGGGGAAGACACAGCTAAACAGCTAAAGCTATCGAAGGATAGCTTTCTGTGAGGCCATCCCCAGTCTTCCCCTCCCCTCCACTGGCTTTTTATAGCTTCAGTGACAACCCACTCCAGTGTTTTTTTTTTTTTTTTTTTTGGGAGAATCCCATGGACAGAGGAGCCTAATGGGTTACAGTCCATAGGGTCGCAAAGAGACATGACTGAAGCAACTTAGCACATACCCACGGTTTCTTATGGCTTCTTAATTGCACCCTGGGACTCTCCAGAGCTCTTTTCCTCAATGAGTAGTTGTTAGATTCTTGTTTTTCAGGTGCAAGGGCTGAGACCTCTTGGTCCTCCATCTTACTGATACTTTCCAACTCAGATAATATGATCTTATACATAGAAGAATCTGAATGGGCCTTTGTTGCAGAAAATTCACTTCTAGGTTGACAGAAAACTCTATTCAAAAATTTAAAATGTATGCTTTTGGTGGTTCTGCTTTGAGGATTTTGTCGTGCTTTGTTGGCATAATTTCATTGTCTCCAGTTTGCCTGTGGACTGACCTTCAAACTCTATCCAAATGTTTGCAGCATCTGAACATTTGACTCTCATGTACTTTTCTGGTGACACTAACTTCTCTATCCATCCATTTCATTCATCCACCCATCACATCTATCTATCATCTGTCTATACCTCAGCTATTGATATAAATATATCAATATATTGATAGATACTAATAGGTGTGATGGATGAATGGATGGATACTCTCATGCTTATGATCAACTTGAAAATCCCCAGTGACTCTCACTAGGAAGCATCCACTGACTCCCCTGATGTGCAGGAGCATCTCCTAATCTCATAATGGACAATGAGCTCCATTTTATGGGCGAGAAAACCTTATCCAGGCAGTTAAGTGAGGCTGTGAAGTTTATCATGGCAGAGCTGGGGCTTGAACTCAGGTCTCTCCAGTTCCCCATCCCGCCTGCTCTCCGCAGCTCCCCACGCTCCCAGCACGTCTCAGCTGACACATGGGATCCTAGGAACCCATCTCTTCTCGACAGGCATGTTCCCAGCAGGGAGGGTAGCAAGCTCTCAAGACCGCATGGAAGTAGTTCTGGCACCGAGATGAAGGCTGGACTGGTGGTAATCCCAAAGCCCTCATGGCTACAGCTGGGATCTTTTCTCCAAATGCCAAGAGACCCTCTCCTTGATGAAACTGTACTCAGCCTCCCTGAAACCTTTTTCAAGTGAGCATGACTTGGGGGCTTCTGTGTTTGTCTCTGCATAGTCCAAGTTTAGCAAGAATCTTGCAACATCAGTTTAACCAGAACCCCCACTCTTGACATCTGATCCCTTACCCCCCAGGTGAGGTCTGCTTACCTGGCCTGCCTTCTGCAAGAGTCCTGCTAGGTCAGATCAGCCAGAAGACCCCCTTCCCCCTGCTGTTTCCTCTTAGTAATCTTCCATCCACTGTCCTGCCCTGCTTCTTGTCTGTAAACCCTCACTTTCCCATGCAGCCCCCGCCCCCCAACGCTGGCCCCTATGCCCATCGCGATGGTCCCTCTTGAATAGACAGCCTTCCTGTGCGTTCGCAAGGGTCTCTGAGTCTTTTCTCTGACAATATTGACAGGTTTATAAACCACAGTGCGGATGTTCCACCGGCAGGAAGAAACAGCTGCCAACTCACAAATCGAGAGCCGGACAGAGGCCTCTTCCTGTGTGTGTGGAAAAACCACAGGCTCTGCAGTCGGAGAAGATAGTGGAGGCCAGGGAGGGAGGAGGCCGGCGAGAGAAACGAGGTGACGGGAGAAGCACGCAGGCAAGTCAGAACCGCGACAGGGAGCTGAGCGACGGTGGAGGTGCTGCTGCAGGAGAAGGGATGGAAGGGTCTGGCCCGGGTGAGGAGGGCCCTGTCTGTATCAGAGACAGGATGGCCTGAGCCTCACCACCGCCTTCTCCCAGCCCACCCACTGCTGGCTTCCCTGAACAGAGCTTCCGTTTCCTGGGGCTGCTGTCACAAGTGACCATAGGCTGGATGACTTGAACACGACCCAAATGTACTCTCCCTCAGTTTTGGAGGGGCCTGCGTGTGTGCTCAGTTGCCCAGTCATGCCTGGCTCCTGCATCTGCTGCATTGGCAGAAAGATTCTTTATCATCGCACCACCCGGGAAGCCCTCTCTCGGTCTTGGAGGCCAGAAGGTCAGCCAGGGTGTTGGCAGGCCATGCTCCCTCTGCAGGCTCTAGAGGGGGCTCCGTCCTGGCCTCTCCCAACTCTTCGCAGCCCTGGGTGCTCCTGGGCCTGTGGCTGCCTCACTCCTGTCTCTGCCCCCAGCCTCCTCTTTTCCCAGTGTTTCTTACAAAGACACCCAACGTTGGCTTTTGGGTCCGGCCCTATAAAATCTAGGATGCTCTCATCTTGAGATCATTAGCCTAAAGACATCTGCCAAGACCCCTTTTCTAGATAAGGTCCCACTGGCAGGTACTGGGGGACATATCTTTTGAGGGATCACTATTCACACACCATGCCGTCCATTCCTTACTCAACTTGCCTGACAGCTCTTTTTGAGCCTGAATATACAAAGGAAATGTGGGAAGTACAGAGACCAACTAGAAGAAATTTTGCTGTCGGGGGTTTGCCGTCTAGAAACAGGGGCAAAGCAGCTGCTTGTAGAGCTTGATGGAAAATGGTGGGTGTGTTGGAGATGTGGAGGGAAATACAGTAGAATAGAAGCTTAATGGGCAAGAGCTACACCAGCTTGGCTCGGGGACCAGCAAGCAAAAGGGGGCTCCTCATAGCAGACCTATACATAAGTGGATTTTGAGAGACAGGAGGACATGAACTTGTGGGACGGGGACAATCTGGGCAGAAAAACTAGCCTCAGGGAGGCCCAGGGTCAAGAAGCAATGGGGGTTCACAGGCAGTGCTAAAAGCTATCTGGAGTGATGGGAGCACAGGTGAGTGGAGGGCAGAGGCAAGAGGGGATGGTAGAGAGGGTGTCTGGGGACAGGATAGGGCGTCTTGAATGGGGTTCAGCCAGGGAAGCCTACACAACATTGTGAATGTAAGGGCGTGGTAGAAAAACCTTGATTTCTGAAGATAGTACTTTTATATTTCATAAATAGTAAAACTTATTTTTTTCATAAACAGTAAAAATTATTTTAAGCTAAAGATATTTGAGATGCAGTAGATGCAGAAAGAGGCCTTTCTGGAGCTTCCTTCAGCTGACTAAAAGCAGACACTTCAGAGAAGTGAGAACCACCATAGATTCCTTCTTTGGGGTGTGTCTGATCCCCGGAGTGAGAGGAAAGTAAACCTACCTCTGCAAACTCTCTTTTCTCTTGAAACCTATTTGCTCTTTCCATTGGAGACTTTTCTTTTTCCTCCCTTTCCTCCACTAAGTTAGCTATTCAAGCCCCAAATCATAACCACTGCTGTGAGTGCCTCATCATGGAGCTCTCCCACATGTACGCACATTACACGCATAGATAAAAGTTTGCTTTTCTTGCTCATTGGGCTTTTGTCAACTTAATTCACAGGCCCTTGGGCACAGAACGTAAGAGGGTAGAGGAAAAGTTATTCCCACCCTACAGTTTATATATTGTACATGTGAATTAAAATGTAGACAGACTTAAGATGGGAACACTGGCTCATAGACTATTAAATAATCCAGGCATGATTAGCAGGGGAGAAAGGAGAGATAAGTATGTATTTGGAGAGATTGCAGAGGCAGAGTCAAAGGGATTTTGTAGAAAGGAGAGAGGGAGGGAGGTTAGAAAGGGAGAGCAAATAGTTGACAAGAACTCTGTGGCTCTGAGCCTGGATGACTGGGTTCATGATGGTGCTGTTATTAGAAAGTAAGAGATAGAACGATCTTAAGAAAACAGGACATGTTAATGGAACCTGCGTGAAGCCTGGCAGAGAGCCTCACCTGGAGATGAGAATTGAGATGATTGCATTGAGGATCCTTAAAGGCATAGGGTAAGAGAAAACTATGTTAAAAAAAAATGTGAGGAGGGGAGGGGGCCTCAGAGGTGATTTGGGGAAGAAGGAGGGAGTGAGGCCAGCTAGGGGTGGGGAGGTGGTGAAAGAGGAACGGTCAGAACATCCATGGGACTGGAGATCAAACAGAGCATCTTTCTTCGTATGAAAAGTTGCACAGAGGTAGATAAGGATCGAGCACATTCCATAAGAACTGGAAAGAAGGCTGTCACTGGAGGAAGCAGTGTCAGGAGAGAGGTTGGGAGGCAGAGCTGAATTTGGGGGTTGGAGATCATTCCTTCAAAGAATGTTATTGGAGGGAAGAGCATCCCAGGTGCTGAGAACAGGACGTGCAAAGGCCCTGAGGCAGAACTATGTCCAGCGTGACGGGGGGACCACTCTGACTGAAGTCACTGGAGCAAAGTTAAGAGTGGGATACTAAAGACCTGATCCCACGGGTCCTTGGAAGACTGTGTAGGGAATTCGGAATAAAGTATGCTGGAAAGTGAGTGGAAAAAGAAATCTAGTAGGAAAGAGAAAGAGAAATACATTACCAAGAACTTCAGGGTTACCTGAGCCTCTCTCCTGGTTGGGGATTTTGAATGATTCTCAAAATTTAAAATATCACCTCAATGATAGCTATATTTTGATGATTACCCAAACAGAACCAAGTTGGGGGTAGGGGGGATGAGTAGGGAATTAAACTATGAAGAGGCATCTTTCTTTCTTTTATTCCATTTTTATGTATCCATTTCTTTGTCATGAAGTCACAACATTTTATCAAAATATACAAACAGCCCAGATACTTTAAACATGTACAGCTCTAATTCTAATTAAATAAGATCACTGTGAATAGCATGCATGGGTGTTTGTTTATCCTGAAAGATGTGTCTCTCACGAGACTTATGAGTCATCAAAACATCAGTAACAGTATCAGAAAGGAATGGGATTTCTTTTCTCTAGAAGAATTACACATTTCATTTTTTTTCTCCTGCTCTAATGTGAGGATGATAATGAGAAAGTGCCACTGATACTGAAATCAACTGAGAATGGATGGGTGGAAAAATTTTATTGGCAGGAGGAAAACGATTCTATGACTAAATCTTTATTGGATTCTAATTTCTAGACAATTTGACAAGACAAACAAGAGTAGGGGTCGAGTCAACCTTCCATATCAATGACACCAACACTCCCCACCTTCCTTTCTCCCAAGAATTTCCTCACTAATCAGAATGAATGGACTTGTAAATCTCAAGTTATAAGCTATGTTTATTATGAAGAGTTCCTGTAAGATCCTATTCAGGGCTTCCCCCATCCCTTCCCCCTTACACTTGCACAGGTATGAACAGAATGAAATGGGTTAGTGGTGACTTGTCTGTGGTTGAATGGAATCCAGTGCTACACCAGGCAACGTGCTGTCTTCGGTCTTGAGAGGTTCGGACTATGCTCCTTGAGTCAACACACAGATCATGGACCAGCAGATGGTGCCCAGGTGAAGAGTCATAACTCAGAGCAGAGCTCAGTTTTCAGATCTTTCACAGCATGGAGCACCATCTTCAAGTAACTAGCTACAGTAAGGAGCTAACTTCAACACTGGCCATGGTCATCAGTGAAGAAAGAGCTAGCTTCTGCTACAGACGCAAAGCCGCTAAGACGCTCCGAGGGGCTCAGCCTCTGGGGTTGAGTGTTTCTTTTCTTTTCCACATGGAAAAGGAACCCAAGGAGTGTCTGCCTGACCCAGTTCACAGAGGGAAGAGGGCAAATCCTCTGGAGAGGCGAGGTCAGGATATCAGCTTCTCCATCCCTGGGTTCATGAAGGAAAAGTTCCGGAACATGTTCTGGTCCATGCTGTTGATCAGCGCCCTGTCTGCGAATGACAGCCGGGGCTTCTCATTCAGGAATTCCTTGTCAAAATTGCTGCAGTCATATGGCGATTTCTGGATCAGAGTTTAAGTGGCGGGGAGAAAAAGAGAAGATCAGCCACTGAATTCATTATCTCTGTTTTCGCCATCAAGGCGATAGTCTGCATGTGAAAAAGCTGGCATCTGCAAATAATCTAAAGTAACACATAGGTTATCATTGGGAGTTTTACTGACTGTCCTCTCAGATCCTGGATCATCAATGTTATCAACAGTATAATAAGTTCATATTAGAGGGGTTCCACGACTTGTACCTTCAAATAAGTTTACGTGAAGCAGGATTGGCAACCTTTGGGAAATCGGTCAGCCCCAATCTGACCTCTGATCTTTTAGTCTACAGGGGACCCTGGGTGGAGGAGTGGTGGGAGGTAGGGGTTGGGGGTGGGAGCGGAGGAGGGGGAGGAGTTTTGCAGATTATACATTCCTGTTCTGTCAACATCCTTCACTACTGTTCATTCCCCTTACCCACAGTCATCTTATGTTTTTTTAAGTCATTTTAGTTTTTTATTAAAAAATTTTATTGCTGAATAACTGATTTACAATGCGTTAGTTTCAAGTGTACAGCAAAGTGAATCAGTTATATATATATAAATACATAAATATATACATATATATATATATATAAACACATAAAACTACTCTTTTTAGATTCCTCATAAGGACTTACTGTATAACACAGGGAACTCTACTCTTTAATGGCCTGAATGGGGAAAGAATCCCATGCTAATTTTATTATTAAACATCTTGGGCTGTCTTCCATAGGCAAGACAGATTAGGGTGACCTCCCTTCTCGCCACCCGATCTATTGGTGCCCATGACCAAAAACAGACCTATTCACAAATACTGTTCAGTATGGTGTACATTTCCACTTTCTAAGATTAAGAGCAACCATTATGCAATGTCACCCTTATATGAGCATGACTAAGAGTCAGCCCTTCCCACCTTTAAGGGGCCCCCAGAGCTGCTGAGGCCAGTGGTTCTTTGGTCTTTGCCTACAAACAGTTGCTTAGACCACAGGACAGGGGAATGCCTTCCTATGGGAGGAATCTGGAATCATCCCACAAGGAAAGAGCAGATCAAAGGTCTGATTTTTTTGTGCAGAAAATATCAAGTCCATCATAGTCTATCATGGAAGTCGTGACAAACGACATTGCCCTAATGAGCTGGAACAAGGCAGAAATTACTATCTCTAAATTATTAACCCGTGTATTAGAAATGGTGCTGTTACAAATAAGAAGACTGCTATGGGCCAGCCCTGTAGGACCCTCGGAACATTCCCAGAGCTTAGGAAAATGTTGAGAATATCTAACTCTTCCTGGCCTGGGGACACACTGCCCCTACTGGCCATCCACCACCAAAAGCAACAACAGAATACACTTTCTAGAGTGAATGCAATGCTTTGAAATCCACAAGCCTGTGCCAAGTCCATGCAAAGACGGTTCATATCCACCCAGGTCATTGCCATCTTATTCTCAGAATCACCAGGAGTGGGGGTAGAGCTGGCAAATCCACCACTTAACTCTTAAAAAAAACTGTGATATATATGTCTATCCCAATCTCCCAGTCTACCCCACTCTCCCCACCCCCTTGGAATCTATGATTGCTCTCTACAAATACATGGGTCTGTGTTTCTGCTTGCAAATAGGTTCATCTGTACATTGTTGTAGATTCCACATATTTGCATTAACATATGATGTTTGTTTTTCTGGCTTCACTCTGTATGACAGTCTCTAGTTCCATCCATGTCTCTGCAAATGGCACAATTTTGCTCCTTTTTACGGCTGAGTAATATTCCATTGTATAAATGTACCACTGGGGAATTGGTGTTTAACGGGGACAGAGTTTCAGTTTAGGAAGGTGCGAAACTCAGGAGGGTGGATGATGGGGAGGGTTGCACAACCTTGTGAATGTCCTTAGCGCCACTGAACAGTGAAATGTGGTTAAAATAGTATGTTTTATACTATGTGACTTTGACCATGATAAAAGAAATGTAAAAATTGTGGTAAAATGTGCATAACCTGAAAGTGACCATCCTAACCCTTTTTAAGTGTAGAGCGCAGGTGCATTCATGTGTTCAGTCACCATGACTACCGTCTACCTCCACAACATTTTCCATCTCAACTTTGCCTCATTTTACAGTGACCCAGGAAGTTCTGCCCTTGCTCAGGGAGGTTGGTGATTCCTGCCAGTGGGGATTTAGAGACCTGTCTGTCTCTAAGCACCAGCTCACTTCTTACCTGAAAAAACATCTACCAATTACCATTAGGGTCTGCAGTTACATGACCAGATGACACACGTCAGGGAAAATTTCATAAATATCACAGAGCACATGGCTCCAAAACTCCTGTTAAAGGAGGCGGGGCTTACGCTCAGGTTTGGGTCACACAGACTTGACCCTGAAAGCTAAGTGCATCCGTGCACAGCTCCACATTGCATCTGAGGGCCACCCCTCCACACACACATTTGGTCTAAGGCCTGCATACTCCGTGATCCATTCTCCATGCAGCTACATTTGCTGACACAGCAAATAAGTAACATCCCCCTCCCCAGCCCCATAGCCTGATTATGGTTAAAGACGACTTTCTTCCAAGAACTGCACCCCAGAGGGTGGGTGAGGAGTCAGGGCCCAGGCAGCCTGGGTGTGACGTGAGGATGGTGCTGGCAGGACCTCAGGGTCCCGGGGGCCCCTTACCACTTTAGGCCTGAACGGTGGGTCAATCTCCTTCCTTTCCAGCTCTTCCCAGTTGATTTCCCGAAACAAGGGGTGCTGACGGATGTCTCCCCTCACCCCCAGCCGCTTCTCAGGTTCTCTTACGAAGAGCTGAAAGGGAGCAGAAGGGGAGTGGTTACTTCTCACGGGATGAACCAGGATCCTCAGATGCAGGGAGCCCGGACCGCATGGCTGGACTCCACTAGGAGAGGGGTTTGGCTCTTGCCGCCTGATTTCAGAGCCTTCTTTTTCTACAACTGTCTTAAACTATCGACTCAAGTCAAACTAGTGGCAACAGGTCTACTGAATATTCCAGGGTCTGAGCCTTGCTCTAGAAATGCTATTTTTTTAATCATCTAGACCTCGATTGAAATCAGCTTGGCCCTGTGTTATTCATGAGGCCGCCAGCAAGTTACAGAGGCTCTGAGTCAGGTTCCTCATCAGTAAGGTAAGTGAATCCTCCCTATAGGACTATTTTGTGGGTTACAACAACAACACACACACACGCTGGTGTGTGCTAATTTCTGGTCTGCAAAACACACCAGCAGAGGGTAAGTGACCAGCGTGTTTGTTGTCTGGTTGACTGCCATCAAGCGAGTTTGATTTCCTATGAAGCTGCTTTCTTAAAGGGTCACAGGCATGCTCTAAGGAAAAGCTTAGCCTTGTGTTGTTATAATCAAATGCTTCAGGGAAACAGATTAGAAGTATAACAGCTGCCTGAGGCCAAGTGTGGACATGCTAATTTTCTGTTCATTTCCCCCAGTAACATGGGGCATCTGTTCCAAGATCATGAGAAGAGTTTTCTGAGCCTAGTAGATATACCTGTGAAATGTAAAAAAAAATTTTAGAAGATGGAAGGAATAATGAGAAGGTAATATGATCTCCAGCTTCAGGACTCAAAATCCTTTCTAGTTTTGCACAGATGAGTAAATTATCATCTTCTCTGCACTGTAGCTGATCATCCCCCACCCTGGTCCTGAAGATGCCCATTGACCTTGTGGGCAGTCATTGTCTCTGCCACAGGGGAGGCTGTACCAAACCAATAAATGTTTATAAAGACAGACTTGATTTTGTCCATAAAAGCTGTCACAACTGTGGTTTACATTTGTAGGAAAAAGCACATCTCTTACATAAATGGCCAGGATGCAGCTGGAGTTTGTTTAAACGTATTGGACTGTCTGGGCAAGAAAGCAGTGCGGAGACGTGGCGGACGGCCCTTCCCCCCAACCCCCAGTCTTAGCATCTGCCTCTGGACTCTCCCCTCCGACCTCAGTGCCTCCTCAGAGGGCTCTTCCTACTAAAGGGAGAGGTATTTCCGTCTGGGATCATTAGCTTTTCATCATTTTCCAAACAGACAGACAGGACATCCTGGATGAATAAATGAGGAAGAAAGGGGCGTGTCTCTGAGCACCGTCAACTGGACAGCCATGTCCCAGCTGTAGTTCTGTAAACCTTAAAAAGACATTTCACACAATCTTTAAAGTTTACTTTTCATTTAGTTATTGCAAAACATTGGCTGTATTCCCCATGTTGTGTAATACATCCTTCTAGCCCATCTTGCACCTAAGAGTTTGTGCCTCCCCTCCCCTACCCCATGTTACTCCACCCTCCTCCCCGCTGGTAACCACCAGCTCTCTGCATCTGTGGGTCTGCTGCTTTTTCGCTATATTCACTAGTTTGCTGTACTTTTAAGATTCCACATAAAAGTGATATAGTATTTACCTTTCTGTGAAAGTGAAAGTTGCTCAGACCTGTCCAACTCTTTGCGATAAGGTCTGACTTATTTTCACTTAGCATAATGCCTTCTAAGTCCATTCATGTTGTTGCAAATGGCAAAATTTCATTCTTCCAAATGGCTAAACAGTATTATATTGGGTGTGTGTGTGTGTATATACGTGTATGTGCATACATACATACATACATATATATATACACATATATAAAACATTTCCTTTATTCATTTGTCATTGATGGAGTCTTAGGTTGCTGCTTCCATGTCTTTGCTATTATAAATATTTTCAGTTTTTTGAGGAACCTCCATGCTGTTTTCTGTAATGGCTGCACCAATTATATTCCCACCAACACTGGAGGAGGGTTTCCTCTTCTCTACTTTCTCGCCACCGTTTTTCATTTGTTGTCTTTTTGCAATAGACATTCTGACAGGTGTGAGGTGATATCTCATTGCAGTTTTGATTTGTGTTTCCTTGATGTTTAGTGATGTTGAGCATCTTTTCATGTGCCTCTTGACCATCCTCATTTCTTCTCTGAAGAAGGTCTTCTGCCCATTTTTAATTGGGTTGCTTTTCTTTTGATGTTGAATTGTGGGAGCTGTTTACATATGCTGGCTATTAATCCCTCATGGATCACACCGTCTATGAACATTTCCTCTCACTCAGTAGTTTGTCTTTTCGTTGTGTCAGTGGTTCCCCTTTCCAGCTATAATTCTTGCTGGGGCACAGCCTCTCCTAATGTGCATTTGTTCATGCACTACATGCATCCATGCCTTTGCAGGACTAAAGAGGACGGAGGCTGGCGCAGACACCACTGCCATCACAGATGCCAGTGAATACTCTGTCCAACTTTTTCAGAGGACCCATTACTTCTGGGTCTCACAACATTAGGGATAACTCCCTAGAGGGAGTGTCTCTCGAAATGATAATATACTTTTGATTTTTACAGAAAAGGGAACTCAAGGATGTGAGAGTTGTTGGATTAAAATTATAGAGCAAAAGAGACGCAGAGATGAGACTAGAGGTCAGTCTTATAATCAGCACATAGCAAAATGGAAACTAATTTTTATCAGCCCAGCTCCTAGAACCTGGGAGATCTTCCCGAGGAGCAAGCACATGGACATTTTACTTACTCACATGAGAAAGAATAAGCCCAGATTCCTCCACGTGGATTTAAAACCTCTTTCAACAACTGGTTCTTTTTCTTCCCCTTCTTTATCCTTAATTGTCTTTGTTTCTGCTCTATTCACCAAATAACTCACTTTCTACATTCACAACAAATCTTTTCCCTGCCACTGAAATTCTGCAGATGACTCTTTTTTAGAGGGAGGAGGGTATCTGCTAGAATTTAGCTTTAGATTTAGTTTTGTTTTTAAACTTTTTATTTTGAAATAATTATAGTGTCTCAGTCTGCTGTAACAAAATGCCCCAGACTGGGAGGCTTAAATAGCAGACGTTTATTTCTCGTAGTTCTGAGGGTGGGAAGTCCAGGCTCAAGGTGCTGACATGGTCAGTTTCTGGTAAGACCTCTCGTCCTGGCCTGGAGGCGGCTGTCTTTTTGCTACGGGCTCACATGGCCTTTTCTTGGCACACCTATTTGGAGGGAGAGATCTCTTTTCTCTCCCTCTTTCTGTAAGGACACTAATCCCACCTTGAGCACCCCACCCTCATGACCCCATCTAAACCTAATTGCCCCTCAAAGGCCTCACTTCCAATAACATCACTTTGTGAGTTCAAGGACTTAAACATATGAGGTTCTGGGAGCATGCAAACATTCAGATCGTACATGCAGACTCACAGGAAGTTGAAAAGAGAGTGCAGACAGGTCCTGTGCACCTTTTACCTGGTTTCCCCTAACGCTGCCATCATAGTATGAACACAGTACAGGAAGCTGACAATGTACAATGTATGTGTCTTGTCCTGTGTCACTGTATCACATGCGGAGGTCTGGGTAGCCATGAAGACAAATAGGATACAGAACTGTCGTATCACCACAAAGATCTCCCGCAGGGTTCCCCTTGATAGTCACTCCCCTGCCTCCATGATCCCTAACCCCCGGGAACCACTAATCTGATTTACAACTCACAGTGTTGTCCTTTCAAGAATGTTACAGACGTGGGCTCATACAGTACGTGACCTATAGAGATTGACTTTTTCTTTTTTTCACTTTAATGTCATTGTGATCCAAGTTGTTTGGTGAATCAATAGTTCTGTCCTTTTAATTGCTGAGTAATTAAAAGATGGAAGCTTTAAGTTACTAAGTGAAAGGCCCATGCCCTTGCTCTAGATAGTTCTCCCAGGTTCGGGGAGCTGAGCTGACAAAATGAGTTTCCATCTTGCACTTTTCACCGCATCTTTTCTCCTCCAACAGGAAGCAATCCTTTCCTCCTCCTCAATCTTCCTCTCCTTGGAAACCACCCGCCCCCAGTGTCTTTCTGTGGACTTACTTCCATCATCTCCACCTGGTCTGGTTACACGCTCACTGCCTCCTTGCTGGGACGTCTCCTCTGTTGAGCTGGGAGGAGCTGGGTTTGGAGGCACAGGTGTTCAGCTTTATGGAAAAGGTAGCTGCAATGTCAGCTTCAGACCCCCCAAGCTTTCTCCTCGCTTTCCTTTTCTAGTGAGTTCCGACAGTCCAGGCCTTTGGAGTGCAGCCTTCACGCTATGGATTGAACTGTGTCCCTTCAAAACCCGTGTATTGAATCCCTAGCCTCTAGTGTGAGTGACCTGGGAGTAAGGAGATGCTTAAGGTTAAGGAGGTCGTGAGGGTGGAGCTGATCTGATAGGCGAGCTCTTATAAAAGGAGGTGCCAGAGTTGTCACGACAGAACACACTGCCTGCCAGCAGTAGGGTTCTCACCAGAAGCCCACCCTGCCAGGCCCAGACCTTGGACTCCCAAGCCTTCAGAAATGCAAGTAGGTAAATTTCTGTTGTTTAATTCGCCCAGTCTATGGCGTTTTGTTACAGCAGCTGGAGCAACTAACATACCTCAAAAGTAAGTCCTTCCAAGAGCCGGGGTGTAAGATAAACGCAACAACTGTCACACTGCCTAAAGCTGCCATTATGGAAAAGCAAAACTGTTTACATTCCAATCCTGGTAACTTATTTCTACTGTTGTCATCTTTTTTTTTTTAATTGGTTAATTTTGAAATTAGCTTTCATTTTATAGATCTGTTGTGCAGTCATTAAAAGTGAACTTAATTGGTCATTTGGGGGAGTTTTCTAAGTTTACTGTCTGTTTGGATCCATCAGAAAGTGCAAGCTGAGGGTGTGCTGGTTCAGATTTTTAAATACTGTCAACCTTGGGCTGGGGCTCCTCTGGGGGCTCTGTCAGCACTTCATATTCAAGACCTTGATTCCTCAGGGAGAACTCTGCAGCCGCCTCTACGTATGAAACATCCTAGACAAGCTGACAGTCGGATGAGAGGCAGAAGTGTATTATGCCGCTTAAATTTAATTCTGAGCAGTTCTTCATGAGAAAAAAGGAGACTGGTGAAAAAAAGATAGGCCCGATAATCTTCTAGGTTTGGATTTAAAACCACTGATAGCATCTGATGTTGAAAGATCCTATTCTCGTCCCCTTTTCATTATAAGAAGGGCAGAGCTAAAAATTATTTCTCTAAATGACTTTGTTTTAGCCAGCTGATATAAGTTGTCAGAAATCAAAACCCTGTTTTGTTCAAAACACGTGTATTTGCAGTTCTTTTTAGATCTGCTGGCTCTTGGTTAACACTTGTGGGTCTTTTTGATCCACACAGTCGCTGGAACAGTAAATCTAGGTGCTTATCATGATATGTAATTAGCATGTTGCAGGAGCATGAGTTTTTTTTTTTAAACTTACTACAACCACACTGTAATGGTATTTTGCATCTTCAAAAGAGGTGAACTTAGAGTTTAAATCTTTAATGATGGCTTTCCAGTACACCGTGCGTCTCTGCAATGGACTGACGGCCCTGGGTGCTCCTGGTTCATGGTCAGTGATTCTTGGAGTCTATAGCGCTGGGTGCTGGTTCCTTTTTTTTTCTTAAGTAATTTTCTTTCTTATTTTTGTTTGTTTCTGGCTGTGCTGGGTCTTCACTGTGCAGGCTCTTCTCTGGCTGCAGTGAGTGGGGGCACTCTCTGGCTGTGGTGCAGCGGCTTCTCCCGTTGCGGCCATGGGCTCATGCGCTCAGCAGTTGTGTTGCATGAGCTTAGCTATGGTATGTGGGCTCCTCCAGACCAGGAATCAAACCTGTGTCTCCTGCATTGGCAGGTGGATTCTTTACCGCTGAGCCACCAGGGGAGCCTGCCAAGTCTTAAGTCTGGTCTACTGCGGGTGAGGTCTGACTCCTGCTTTGATAGTAAATTCTGGAGCTCGCCTCTAAGATAAGAGCCTGTAGTATCAAGGGTTCCGGGTGAAAAATACATCAGTGTCTCCTGTGGACACGGGTCAGGAATGTGGCAGGAGGGTGGGCTGCGTCCATGTGGACAGCCCGTGGACTCTGCTCGGCAGGAGTCTCACCCAGATGGAGTGTTTCTGGGTTAAGGTTTCATACAGAAGTTGGGCTGAGGGATGAATTCAACAGCCTGAATCTCGAGGGCTTCAGTGCAAATTGTCTCCAGTTACAGGCATTTCCAAGACACCTGGTAGAATCCCATACAAAGCATTGGCTTTATCTTTTTTTTTGGGGGGGGGGCATGTCATGTGGCTTGTGGGATCTTAGTTCCCTGACCAGGGATTGAACCTGGGCTCTCTGCAGTGTGAACGCACTGACTCCTAACTACTGGTCCGCCAGGGAACTTCCAAAGTCTTAGCTTTAACACCCACCAGATTCAAAGAGCAGGAAGCCCCCAGTCATACAAGAGCAGTTCTTTCTCTTCATAATCTTCGCCCTCTGTGTTTGATCTGAAGCAGAAACCCAAGAGCTGGAGAGGAAGGGAATGCACACACAGTTGGTTCTCTATGACCACACTCTCTTCTCCAGGAGCGAGCAGCTGCCAGCCGTGAACCTGGCCAGAGGAAAGGGAGCTGGAACTCTTTGCTTTCGAGTTAAGACTGATGTAATGACTTATATCTTGGCCAGAACAGCTTCAATTTCTCAGCAGAGACAGTGTTTTCTGACTTAGATAAAAGAAAAAGTTCTTGTCACTCCTAAGACTGAGCAGAAAGCCACACATCTTATCCACATCTTCATCCAGGGTAAGGGGAAGGTTTTTAATCATGTTTCAGGATCAGTGTTATAATTCGACACCTGTACACATTACAGAGTGATCACCAGAGGTCTAATTACCATCCATCGTCATAGAGTTGACCCCCCTTCATCTATTTTTGCCCAATTCCCAGCCCTCTTCTCCACTGGTAATCACGGATCTGTTCTTTGTATCCATGAGTTTGTTTTTATTTCATTGTGCTTGTTTTGTGTGTTTTCTTAGATTTCACATGAGTGAACGCACATGGTACTTGTCTTTCTCTGTCTGACATATTTCACTAACCAGAATACCCCTAGATCCATCCATGGTGCCGTAAATAGCACTATTTCATCTTCACGGCTGAGTAATATTCCACTATACACATCTCACACACACCATATCTTCACCTGTTCATCCATAGACAAACATTTGTGTTGTTTCCATATCTTGGCTGCTGTAAACAATGCTGCAATGAACATAGAGTGGCATATATATTTCCCAATTAGTGTTTCCATGTTGTTCAAATGAATAACCAAAAGTGGAAGACCATATGAGTGCATGGCAGTTCTACTCCTAACTTTTTGATGAATCTCCATACTGTTTTCCATAGTGTATCTATCGATTCACATTCCCAACAACAGGTTCCCTTTTCTCCACATCCTCATCAGCACTTGTCTCTTGTCTTCTTGATAACAGCCATTCGGACAGGGACGAGATGACAGCTCATTGCAGTTTTGACTTGCGTTTCCCTGGTGAGTGATGTTAAGCATCTTTTCATGTACACATTAGCTACCTGTATGTCTTTGAGAAAACTGTTTATTCAGATCCTCCTTTGCCCATTTAAAAACTGGGTTGTTTGTTGTTGAGTTGTATGATTTCTTTATGTATTTTGGATATTAACCCCTTATTAGACATATGATTTGCAAGTATCATCTCCCATTCAAAGTTTTCATTTTGATTATTTTGTGTTTTGTTTGTTGCTGATGTTTGTTGCTGATGTTTTGAAGTTTTTTAGTTTGATGTCATTGCATATTATTTTTTTTTGCTTTTGTTTCCCTTGCTTATAGAGCCAGATCCCCCAAAATATCACTAAGACTGATGTCGATGAAGTCTCTTTTCTTCTAGGAATTTTATGGTTTCAGGTGGACAGAATAGACTGTATAGGGATTGTTGTGGAGATTTCTTTTGTAAATTATGCATATGAGGGTCTATGTTATGCTCATTTTGATAGCGCATGTGCATCCTATTGGTGCCTCAGTTAAAACAGACGGCAGGCATCCCCTTTAAGGCTGGCTCAGAACAATTACTGTTTACTACGTATTGGGTTGCTCAAAAAGATTGTTTCAGTCTTTCCATAACATCTTACAATCAGAAAACCTAGTACTAATCTTAACAAAAGTCTCCTTGACTTCACTCCTTACCTTCACTAAAAGGTCCTTTGCCTCCTTCTCGAGCCATCGCGGGTAAAAGGGATTGTCCATGCGGATGGAGTGGAAAAGCTCCTCTTCGTCCTGCCCGTGGAAAGGTGACTGGCCTACGAGCATCTCGTAGAGGAGGACACCGAAGGACCACCAGTCCACAGAGTGGTTGTACTTCTGACCCAGAAGGATCTGTGTGACCAGAAGGCAGAGACACAGAATAAAAATGAGGTTGACTCGAAAACCTTGCATGGACTTTTCAAGGTCACCCAGGAGAGAACTCATGAGGACAGAGTTTTAGCAAAGCTTACGCTGAAAACTGTACCTTTTGAGAAGTTAGTGATTGTGTAGAAATGAGTGGACAGTGCCCAAACTAAACAAATACTTTTGAGATCAAACTCTTTTATTCCCCACCTGAGCAAAACAACTAAATTGTACCATCATCCTTCATCTGCCCATCTGTGACGGGAGCATGTGGGTGACAGATTCAGCCCAGGAGAGCTGGTGTGTTTCTATGCCCTTCAGTGCCTCTAAACCAAAACCATGTGTTTTATGGACTTTCTGTTAAGTGTTGGGGCTTCCCTGATTGCTTGGCGGGTAAAGAATCTGCCTGTAATGTAGGAGACGCAGGAGACAGGAGTTCAGTCCTTGAGTTGGGAAGATCCCCTGGAGGAGGAAATATCAACCCACTCCAGTATTCTTACCTGGAGAATCCCATGGACAGAGGACCCTGGCAGGCTACAGTCCAAAGACTCACAAAGAGTTGAACATGAGTGAGTTGAATATGAGTTGAACGTGAGGACCTAAGCAACTGGTCCTGAGTCTTTACATAAAGTTTTTGCAGCTAACCGAGCAGCCAAGGAGGTTGACCAAGTCCACCCCTTAAACCTAAGCAGTCATGGTTATGAAGAGTCAAATTTTGTGACTATGCTGAGAGAGACTAGGACAACAAGCTGATAGATATTTGCAAAAAATAAAGATCAAGTTGCAAACAGAATTTTTCAATCTGCCACTGACTTCCAGGATAAAAATGCTATCTACTGGCCTTAATATTTGAACACCAAAATTAATCTTAAAGTTAAAAGATAACCTTAAGGAACAGTGTAAAAGTAGACCTAGGGAGAATGATAAAATAAAGATGAGCACACACAGCACAATCTTAGTTCAGGTGCATTTGCCTTAAGTGCGTCCTGGTTCAGATGCAATTCCCAGGACGTGCCACTAGGGGGAGCCCAGGGCAACCAGAAGCCACTCTGAGCATCACATCCTGGTACACATCTTCATTTGTGTTGGATTAACGAAAAGAAATTTGGAGGACAGGAGACAGTTAAGGTGGAAATTCAGTCTGCTAAGGCTAGGTGATAGAGTTTCAGTCTTACGCTAGGAGAAAGAAGCACAATGCCAGTTCAGTTATTCATGGTATGAACAGAAGGTCTGCAAATGTCTATGATGTGTACTGGGCGTTTCCCCAGACACTGTGTGTTGCTCACAAGAACATCTCGGGTAGGTGCTCTTATCCCTGCTTAACAAAGGACACTGACTGCACCCTGGGAGGTTACATGTCTTCTTTAAGGTCTCCTGGCTAGTTAAGAGCTATGTTCTGAACCCTGGTCTTTTGGGATCTTACTATTCAATGTTCCTTTTCTATTATAATGTTTTTTGTCTCCAGGACTGAAACTTTGCTCTGACTTGGTCATGCTCAAACTAGTCTCTATTTTTAAAGAAACTGGTGGAGAAACACTGGCTGGAGTGGCCCCTTCTGAATCTCAGACCCTGATGCCTTCTCTTGGCCAGGCTGTCTTCTGTCCCATGTCCTCCCCACCTTTGCTCAAAATAACTCAGGTGATCATGATGTTACCACTTCATGTCAGAGCCCCCCTTTCTCTCTTAGGGCAAAGGAGAGCTGCAATTCCATCTGCCTTGTGGAGCTAGTGATTTGAGGTCTGTACACGGCTCACTGGGTGGTGTACACAGCAGAGGAAGGGTCCTTAGAAGACCGAGTGACCACCAGTGCCTCCACTCAGCATGACTCCTGCCTTCTCCAGGGAGCGGCTTCTCTGCATTAAAATTCCACCGGACTAAGTGGCTGGTAAATGTTAGAGAGTAGGGTGTCTCCTTATTTACCGTTTTCCTATTCTTTGTCAAAATGAGTGTAGACCTCCAATTATACATCAGACCCTTGGTCTTCTAACAGGGACAGGGAACAGGGAAGGTTTTGAGAGGTCCCCAGGAGGCATGGATTGTTGGGACTATCCCCTGGTTTGGAGGAGCACAGTATGCTTTTTCATGCATCGTTCCTGACATTGCACTGAATGCCTTAATTTCTTGTGTTTTGGGATCTCTGCCCATATCTTTGGGGCCCTGGGGGAGAGTGAGTGAGATGAAGGAAAAACTTCACTAAGGCCCATGCATGGTGTGTGTGTGGAGCTTTGGAAAATGGGTAGGGTTTTGATGGAAAAGGGGGAGGCTAGGGAGCGTTCTTGTATAAAAGAGGCACAGAGGTGGGGGAACCCAGCACAGGTGCAGAGACGGGCATTTGGGGTGCAGGTCTGGGTGTGGACATTCAGGGAACAGGTGACAGGTGCTCTGAGTGGTGGGGGAGGAGCCTAGACATTAAGGTGGATAAATCGTGGTCCTTAACGGTGTGAAATTCAGTTTACTGGCAAATCGATTACATGTGTGCTGTGGCAGCACCGAGGAGGAAACAACTGGTTAGTGTCAGAAGCCAGAAGCATCTTCAGGGAGATGACGACTCTGGAGGTGGGGGTGACCAGACCCAGGATCCCGAGTGCCTGCTTCTGGACCACGGGAGATGAGGGAAGATGGACTTCTCAGGACATACAATTAAGGACCTTCAGTCGGGATTTTGGCTTGTACCAGATGATAACGGGGACCTCCTGAAGATGCTCCAAGTCGTGGCATGACAGGTTTTCCCACTAGAAAGGGAAATCTGGGGATGCGGTGGAGCGGCCCTCAGTTCAAGGCACTCCAGGGGTCATCTAGACGGTGCCACAAGATGTAGGAAGAAGAGAGTAGAATTCATATTTTTGCGAGTTTAAAAAAAATTCTGAGGGACATCGGTGCCCTCATTTAGAGACCTGAACAAGGACTAGGTTTCCTGAGAGGGGAACGGGAAGCCTCGTCTCAGGAGGAGCTGATGGTGTGTTGGCTAAGGCACGTCGTAAGATGTATCCCCGATGTGATGACTTACTATCCTAAGGTGTGGCATCACCTGTGTCGTAGGCCTGATTAAGGGGATTGCTGGGTTCTGTTTGAACTAAGCTCATTTTCACAAAATGGCAGGTCCTTTAAAAGTTATCTGCAAAGAGACTTTGGATGAAGACCACGCTAAATGATGTAAAGCCAAAGATGGCAGTGCAGAGGCCTCACTCGTGGTCCCAGCTCCTTGTCACTTCATCATCAGGCTGAAAATGATCATCTCATTAGTTATGGCAGGAAGTTGGCTAAATCAAGTGTATCAAAAACACTGTTGTAAATTCTGGACTTACATCCACTATTCTTAACCATGAACCTTGCCTTATGTACACCTTGTAGCGTCTATCTTACACTGTGTCTTTGCGAGGGCTCTTTCTTAGCTATGAGCCACTAAAACCAGAAACTGAAAGAAATTAACCATCTGAATGCAGAGTTCCTAAGAAGAGCAAGGAGAGACAAGAAAGCCTTCCTCGGGGATCAATGCAGAGAAATAGAGGAAAACAATAGAATGGGAAAGACTAGAGATCTCTTCAAAAAATTAGAGAGACCAAGCTACCATGCCCATTTCATGCAAAGATGGGCACAATAAAGGGCAGAAATGGTATGGACCCAACAGAAGCAGAAGACATTAAGAAGAGGTGGCAAGAATACATAGAAGAACTGTACAAAAAAGATCTCCATGACCCAGATAACCACTCTGGGGTCATTGCTCACCTAGAGCCAGACATCCTGGAATGTGAAATCAAGTATGCCTTAGGAAGCATCACTACGAACAAAGCTAGCGGAGGTGATGGAATTTCAGTTGAGCTATTTCAAATCCTAAAAGATGATGCTGTTAAAGTGCTGCACTCAATATGCCAGCAAATCTGGAAAATTCAGCAGTGGCCACAGGACTGAAAAAGGTCAGTTTTCATTCCAATCCCAAAGAAAGGCAATGCCAAACAATGTTCATACTACTGCACAATTGCACTCATCTTACATACTACCAAAGTAGTGCTTAAAATTCTCCAAGCTAGGCTTCAACAGTATGTGAACCAAGAACTTCCAGATGTTCAAGCTGGATTTAGAAAAGGCAGAGGAACCAGAAATCAAATTGCCAACATCCACTAGGTCATCATAAAAGAAAGAGAGTTCCAGAATAACATCTACTTTTGCTTCATTGACTATGCCAAAGCCTTTGACTGTGTGGATCACCAAAAACAGTGGAAAATTCTTCAAGAGATGGGAATGCCAGATAACCTTACCTGCCTCCTGAGAAATCTGTATGCAGGTCAAGAAGCAACAGTTAGAAACAGGCATGGAACAATGGAACAACATAGTTCCAAATTGGGAAAGGAGTACATCAAGGCTATATGTTGTCACCTTGATTATTTAAAACTTAACACGCAGAGTACATCATGCAAAATGCCAGACTGGATGAAGCACAAGCTGGAATCAAGATTGCAGGGAGAAGGATCAATAACCTCAGATATGCAGATGACACCACCCTTATGGCAGAAAGCAAAGAGGAGTTAAAGAGCCTCTTGATAAAAGTGAAAGAGGAGAGTGAAAAAGTTGGCTTAAAACCCAACATTCAAAAACTAAGATCATGGCATCTGGTCCCATCACTTCATGGCAAATAGATGGGGAACAATGAGAACAGTGATGGACTTCATTTTTTTGGGCTCCAAAATCACTGCAGATGGTGACTACAGCCATGAAATTAAAAGCCGTATGCTTCTTGGAAGAAAAGTTATGACCAACCTAGACAGCACATTAAAAAGCAGAGACGTTATCTTATTGACAAAGGTCCATCTAGTCAAAGCTATGGTTTTTGCAGTAGTCATGTATGGATGTGAGAGTTGGACCATAAAGAAAGCTGAGCGCCAAAGAATTGATGCTTTTGAACTGTGATGTTGGAGAAGACTCTTGAGAGTCCCTTGGGCTGCAAGGAGATCAAACCAGTCAATCCTAAAGGAAATCAGTCCTGAATATTCATTGGAAGGACTGATGCTGAAGCTAAAGCTTCACTACTTTGGCCACCTGATGCGAAGAACTGACTCCTTTGAAAAGACCCTGATGCTGGGAAAGACTGAAGGCAGGAGGAGAAGGGGACAACAGAGGATGAGATGGTTGCATGGCATCACCAACTCAGTGGACATGAGTTTGAGTAAGCTCTGGGAGATGGTGATGGACAGGGAAGCCTGTGGTGCTGCAGTCCTTGGGGTCACAAAGAGTCAGACATTACTAACTGAACTGAACAAGTATTTTGAGTGCCAATCACAAAGTATTAAATGAAAATTTTAAAAAATTATTGAGCCTCGTGATTTTACTAGAGCACAAAATGTACTACGAATAGTCATAGTTATTTAAGACTATTTCATCTTAAGTTCAGCCAATGCCTTTTTCTGCATGTTTTAGAACATACACTGTACTAGCTGGTGATACTGTATAATAAATACACATATGCTGGTGATGCTTTTTTAACTGATGAAGGATAACCCAAAAGTGAAAATATGTAATGATGCACTGGCTGTTGGGTGGTCCCAAAGCAGAAAACCAGGCTAAAAGGTATCACCAAGGTTCCACCAGAGGTGCCAAGCTCCTGGACAGGGATTTGCTGCTAAATTTGTTTTGCCCCAGCCAGGGAGTGACTTGAGAAGCTCAGATTTGCTTCACAAAGGGATTCACTCTGAGCATCAAAAAAGAATCAAGGTGGGGGTGGGGGGGAACTCTTAATTCACAAGACTGGGGAGGGATGAGAATAGATAAGTGAAGTCCTGAGGTCTAGATTTAGAGGGTCTTGGCATTTGGATTTGGGAGGGTCAAGAAAGAACAGAGAGAACGGGTTTGGGACCTGCTATGTTTGAATGGCCTGTGCCAGTCAGTTGGAGATCTCAGCAGGAAAACAGACATATGGGTCTGGAGCAATAAGTCTGGGCTGGCTGTAGTGATTTGCAATCACAGTCATAAATACAGCTGCTGCTCATGGAGAATGTATGGGAGGGAAAAGCACCAGGAGTGGATCTGTGTGAAGACAAGCATGACTGAAGATGAGAGAATGAGGCAGAAGCTGCGGAGAGAAGCCTGTCTTGGAGGCTAGATTCTGGAGGATAGCAAAGAAAAGAGATTGAAAAGGATGGGCTGCCCAAGACAGGGCATGACATAAGGCGTGTGTAGACAGGGCAGTTAAAGCCACAGTCTGCTCGCCAGAGGTCAAGCTTGCATTTAAAAAAGGTGCAGTCAAAACTAAACACGTACGTGCAGGGCAGAGTCTCATTTCCCAGACTGAAGATGCTGCCGTTACTTTGGCAGTGACAGGGATCTGTCACTAAATTTGTTTTGCCCTGGAAACCAGAGGCCCATCACTGTCTATCAGACCGCCACTCAGCACTCACACACTTATCAACAATTCTTCATTCACTCTTTGAGAAGGTATCGATTAGCACCTTAATGTGCCAAGCCCTGTGCTCCGTCCTTGGATATAAAAGTAAGAATACACTGATCTACACAAGTGACAAGACGAGAAAATAGCCATATACACCTGTACCAACATCACTGTTCTGGTTTTGCTATTGTACCATAGCTATTTAAGATGGAATTGGTAGGGGAAATGGTGAAGGGTAGATATGGGTGATGTTTCTTTACTATTTTTGGAAACTTCTTGTGAATTTGTAATTATTCCAAAATAATTACAGAAGTGAATAAGCAGCAGTCCTGGGACTTCCCTGGTAGTCCAGAGGCTGAGACTCCCCACTCCCAATGCAGGGCGCCCAGGTTCAATTTCAATCCCTGGTTGGGGAACTAGATCCCATGTGCTGCAAGTAAAAACAAACAAACAAACAAAAAAACAGGTCCTTCATGCTTCAACTAAGATGCGATGCAGCCAAATAAACACTTTTTAAAAAGAAAGAAACGGCTGCTGGCATTAGAGCGATCATCCAATGGTGCAGAGAGATTCAAAGATAGAAAAGCCACGATGACAAATTTATGGTGCGAGAAGGACCACATGGCAAGGGGGTGTCTCTCTCATCTGCCCGGGTAGGCAGCTGGCATGGAATCCAGAACTGGGGGGCAGGCAGTGGGTAAAGCAGGATTGAAGGATTGATGCCTTCTGAGCAAATGCTGCACTTCCAGGGGCTCAGAATACAAGAGCAATGGCTTGTTTCTTTTTTAAATGTTCACAGGCTCTCCCATGTGACAAAATAGCACAAGACAGAAGTATTCTCATTTTACACGCGAGTGTGGGGCTCTCCAGGCTCACACGGGACACAGCCTGGAAACCACAACTTGGGTGTTTCTGGTCCCAAACGAAGCCACTAAACGCAGGTGGATGCCCCATGAGCCTGTTCAGGGTCCACCTGGCTCTTCTCCTGTGGCCGCTTTCGGTTGGTCTGAGGAGGGTGAATACATTTTAAGGCTGGGGTGGGGGGAGCCAGGACAGGATGGACCTGCTGGGTCCTTCACGATTGGCGAAGTGCTGCAGTCAGGGCTGGGACCACCCACCAGGAGACACTAGCTGCGCCTTCGTGCAGCTGCGCTTGTCAAGTATTTGGATTAGTAAACACACCTCCTGCACCAAAGCACTTTAAGGTCTTTTGGTTTTTCCGAGGAGGCAGAAGCAGCGGTGCTGGCCCGGGGCATGCTGAGGTGGGGAGGGGCCAGGGGTGCACCCTACCTCTGGCGCGATGTAGTCGGGGGTTCCGCAGAAGGTGTTGGTCCTGGCGTCTCCCAGCATGTTCTCCTTGCACATCCCGAAGTCCGCAATTTTGATGTGTCCATCTTTGTCTAAGAGGATGTTATCCAGCTTCAGGTCCCTGGAAAACAAAGCAGGTCCTCACTTTAATAAGGCAGTTTTGTTGACATGGGATTGCTGTGTAAGATGGGACACAGTCGGACACGGTGGTCTGTGTGTCCCAGCAGGGTTTTCAAATCAAGATGGCAGAACAGAAGGTCTTCTCCCAGCACAGCCGGAAAGGCCACCCATGGGGGCTTTGCTGGTCCTCCTCTCTCCTTTCAACCCTGCATCCACGGCACGGCTCAGGGGCTCACTGCTTCTCCTCCATGGTATTTCCTCCTTGACCAGCATCTCTGCCCAGGACTCGATCTATTATAGCCCCTTGCAGTCAGGTAAGCTATTTCTGGGCCCAGCTCTGACAGGCGTCCCTGCTGGCTCAGACGGTAAAGTGTCTGCCTACGATTCCGGAGACCTGGGTTCAATCCTTGGGTCGGGAAGATCCCTTGGAGAAGGGAATGGCAACCGACTCTAGTACTCTTGCCTGGAAAATCCCATGGATGGAGGAGCCTGGCAGGTCGCAAAGAGTCGGACACGACTGAGTGACTTCTCTTTCTTTCTTTCACTCTGACAGAGTCCTGTCCCCAGCCGGTGACGACCTCTCCATGTAACTGCCTGCTGCAATTAACTCCTGAGAATGGTTCCCTTTCAGTCCTTCTCACCTTGTGTGAGCGGATCAGCCGGGGATGGAGAGCAGAGGACACAGTCCTGCTCTGTGGACGCATGCTGCTAGCAGCTGTCCCCAGAACTGACGTCTCACATCTGGACCAGCGTGCCAACCTCCGGCGCCAACGCCTCACGGACGGTCTGACCAGAGGCGTGGATGCTCCCGCAGTACAGGAATGTGGATCTCACACTCACATCAGTATCACTTCTGTTTCTCCCATCCTAACTCAAATGCCGTCATGCTCTCATTATGAGGACTGCAAACTCCCAATATGTCTGTCTGTCTTCTCCTTAGGCCTTTGGCTTTGCTCCTTCGTTGTAATCAAACCCACTTTCATTGTGATGTATTGCCTGTATTTAGACTTGAGGGAAATGTCAAGTGAGAGTCTAGTGAAAAAGAAAACTTTTTTCTCCCACATATGATCACAGACCTCTCACATTCTGCCTTGGACCCCAGGCTGAGCATGTCTGTCTGAGAGTCTCCCTCGGGCATTCTTCATTAGAATCTTATTCGCTTGGGCTTTCTAAGAGTTTGCTGTTCATGTCTTTTCATGTCCTTATATTTTACCTTCCAAAAAACCCCAAAACCCCAAACAAAGTAAAAACCCAGAAAGTGAGTTCCTCAAGTATCCAGAGGCTGGACTTTATAGCTTCAGTATCCACCACGATGCTTAAGAGAGGCTGTGTGTTCAGCGGGCGCTCCGTCCAAGTTACCAGGTATAGTGGGTTTAAGGTGCCCCCACCCCACCAGCGATGTTTCTATCCTAACCCCCAGGACCTTATGAATGAGATCTTATTTGGAAAGAGTATTCACAGATGTAATCAAGTGACGGATCTTGAAATGATATTACCTTCGATTATCTGTTGTTGCTCAGTTGCTTCATCGTGTCTGACTCTTTGTGATCCCAGGAACTGTAGCCCACCAGGCGCCTCTGTCCGTGGGATTTTCCATGCAAGAATACTAGAGTGGGCAGCCATTCCCTTCTCCAGGGGATCTTCCTGGCCCAGGGACAGAACCCATGTCTCCGCATTGGCAGGAGACCAGTGAGCCGTCAGAGAAGCCCTGGTTTATCTGAGATAAACCTAAGTCCCTAAGTCCCATGGCCTACGGCCATGTGAGAGGCATACAGGGAACAGACACGAGGAGAGGCAAAGGCTGAGGGGCGACGGGAGGGACACCCCAAGCCTGGGAGCCCCTGGGGCCCCCAGAGACTGGGAGAGGCCAGAAGGACCCTCCCCAAGATCTTGCAGAGGAAGTGTGGCCCCGTGGACACCTTTATTCTGGACCTCGGGACTCCAGAGCTGGGAGGGAATAACTCTGTTGGCCAAAGTCATCAAATTTGTGCTAAATCTTATGGCAACCTTTTGAAACTAATCATCGGTGGACAGAAAAAGGAAACTAATAGAATCTCCTTGTTAATTCAGTGACCCAGTGAGTGTCAGTGAGCAAGGCTACAATGCACCTTGTATGTTGAAAATTTTCTGAAGGCCATTCTCAGTGTCCATGTACCTGCTAGATGATGTCCCTCGGTTCAAATTATTCAATGACTTCCCAGGATCTCCTACAATCCTGTGAGTACACTGCCAAATAAACGTAGTGTTCTTTCTTAGAGGCGCATAAGGCACTTCAGAGAACATGATTTCCCATATAATTTATGATATTAAAGACACTTATGGACCCTCATTGTATTTTTGTCCTGAGTGTTAATTTACAAGAGATAAAGAGACAGAATGTGGAGAAGCAGCCTGAACCAGGGCGTGTGGGCTTTGGTGGCACGAGGTCCCTTTCAGCTCTAAGATCTCTCTTCTCTTCCATCTTCCTAGTTTTTCCTCCCTCTTTTCCTATCCGTCCATCCCACACAATCTAGAGGGCCCCAGTATAGGTATACTTTGGGGATACTGCAGGCATTTCAGATAGAGGAAAACAACCCACGGAATCTGATCAGGGTTTTCACCATCCTGGTGATCAGATCTCAGTTTCCTGAAGATTAAAGAATGGCATCAGACTTTTAACCTATCATTTTGTAGACAGACCCCCACCCGATACAAATGTATATCCCAAGGATGTCAGAGAGACTGCTTAAGAAAAATGAGTGCTGAAACCTCCCCTGAGTCATCTGGTTCGGCAGGTCTAAACAGGGTGCCCACACTTGGCTGCACCCGCTGGAAGTGGAGAGGTTTCCCCAAGCGGAGTTTCAGTACTCTGTAAGCACTGGTACGGACCAGCCCGGATGGAATGCTTCTGGACCACATTATACACAGTTTGCTGTCTTCAGCAATTCGTGCGGAGCATCACCTAGCCTTTCCTAACGACTCGGATCCTTCCTATGAGCACTGGTCACAGGAAAGCAGGTGATCCCATTCCCCTGGGCTGTGAGCTTGTCCTGCTTTCCCCCTTTATGTCGGGTCCTCAGCTGTCTCTTCTCACTGCAGTCACTGTGCAGGCCTCCAGCTGCTCAGCCGGCATCCTGTCCGGCTCCTTTCTTTTATAAAAAAAAAAAAAATTGTCTCCCCTTCTAATCTGCAGTGAGTTGGAAACTAGATAACTAAGCCTTTGAAGATTTGTATGTTAAATGAGTTCAAGTGTGCCTCGAGAAATGGACATTAGCTTTTACCCAAGAAGGTTGTGAGATGATGGTGTACAGTAAGTTCTGGATGGATATCCGCTCAAGAAAGAGGGGACACGTGGCGTCCTGGGTACGGTGACTAGATGTAGGCATGTAGGTTTTCACAGGTGTGTTTGAGTGTTCAAGGAAGAACTTCCCTCCACCCTCACCCAGGAGGACACTCAGTATGCAGATACGGGCAAGAATGAAAAGGAGGCAGAGAGAGAAAGCAACAGTAAGATGCCAGAGAGAAAGGAACGGGAGGAAATGAGACAAAGGGAAGGGAGAGGGAGAAGAAAAGGAAAGCAAGGACAGAATGAGATCGCAGCCCCTCGGCTTTGAGATGGGAATTTCTTCCTTGGTTGTTAAATCCATGTCCGTGGTCGCTCTGGGCGGGAAGCCCGGGTGTGGAACTTTGCGCCACACAAGCACACTGATCACTTCCCATCACAGGTGATTAAACCACCCGGAGCACGGAATCCCAACATCCCAGGGCTTGCTTCCAAAAAGGCAGCTTACCTGTAGACAATTCCTTTGGAATGAAGGAACTGCAGACCAAGGATGATTTCGGCAGCGTAGAACCTGAGTGAAGGAAAATCGAGGTTCCACATGAAATGTTTAATGGGAAAAAGGTTCCCCTTTAGATAGAGTGAGCATGTGGCGTTCTGCTAAATGTACCTGTGGAATTTTGTTTAATCCTAACAAAAGGAAGACCGCATCCATTCTACATGTCCAGCTTCAGCCCTGAGAGAATGAAACGGAGTTGGTATCTAGTGCTTATTCTTATATTGTGAACTAGAATGCTTGAATTATCATTTTGGAGGGTTATGAGAACATTCAAAAACACTAAATGTAATAATTTTCCCTTTTATTTTAAAATCTACCTGGACCCCAGATTCCACATGGACCTGACTTGCTCACATGTAAAAGATTCAGTTTGAGAGGAGGAATGCATACAGTTAGACCTCAGTGATCTCACAGGTTCGGTTCTAGACCACTGCAGTAAAGCAGATCTTTTTTTTTTGGGGGGGGTTGATTTTCCTGTGCAAACAAAAGTTACATTGACACTATACTAGTCTATGAGGTAAGCAATAGTCTAAAAACTGCACATGCCTTAATTAAAAATACTTGCTGTGAACTATACTTCAATAAAAATAAAATTAAAATACAGCTAAAAGATTCTAACCATCATCTGACAATGTAGAGTCACCACAAACCTTCATTTATTGAAAAAAATGGGTATCTGCAAAGCATGATAAAATGAAGTGCAATAAAAGGAGATATGCCTGTGTTAGGGGGTGATCTGTGCTCTCCACCTTCAAAGATGAGTGACTCAAAGGAGGTGAGTTTAACCATCACTAGTTGGATTAGATATAAGGGAGAACTTCCTGCAAGTGTGGTCTGCTGGATCTTGGAGAGGAATGCAGGAATCCCTTCCAGGGAGGCAGTGAGGACAGACAGACAGCGTGTGTCTGTGATGCCTCCTACACCTTACAGACCTGGAGGGGACCGGGAGAACCCTTTTAGCAGAAAAATGCCCAAAGATTTCTGTGCTGCAGGAATCCCATAAAATTATCCCCTGGCACTTGGCTGACAGGTCCTGGAGACAACAAGATCAGCGGTGAGCTACCCACTGGATGTGATGAGACAGACGTTTCAGCCGGGGTTTCTGCAGAAGCTGCTGGAAAAGTCTGTCAATGCAGCTTGACATAAACCACTCTGAGTGTTTGTTAGGAGTGAGAGATTATTGAGCATTCAGCAAAGAAGGCTGCCCACACCTTTAGGTGGGCCTAGGGCCACAGTTTTTGAAGGTCTCAGAGGTTTGACGACTCAGGGAAGAGGGCCCGAGGGAGGCAGGATGCAGAGGGTTCTGGGGGCTCTGCTACAGTCCTCCTAGTAAACCCACCTTGCTTGATCTCGCCTGCATCCAGGGTGTGTGTGTGCATTCAGTTGTTCAGTGGTGTCTGACTCTCTGTGACCTCATGGACGGTAGCCCACCAGGCTCCTCTGCCCTTGGTATTTTCTAGGCAAGAAAACTGGAGTGGGTTGCCGTTTCCTACTCCAGGGGACCCTCCTGACCCAGGGATTGAAGCTGAGTTTCCTGCATCTCCCTCACTGGCAGGTGGATTCTTCACTACTAGACCCACCTGGGGAGCCAGCATCTAGGGTGGCTCCAGGCCAACGAAGGCGGAGATTTATTCTCGAGAGAAAGCAAGCGTCTCTTCCTGTTCTCCAGTTCTCCTGCCCCCAGAGCTGAATGCTTGAGGCTTTACTCTGAGCTTCCCTGTAGACATCCCACCCATGACCCCTTTCCCATCTGAGTTCCATCTGACTTCCATTCAAGGGGCAAATCTTGGTTCTAGGTTCAGGTGACATAGAAGGCTGATAAACTGGGGTGGTTCTTTAAACCAAGTACTTGATCTCGAGGCAGAAAAATGAACTATAACTGAATGGAAGCTTTGGGAGCTGGGAAAACAGGTGCTTCACTGGATGTGTTTCTGGGGTCACCTCGCCCTGGAGTTTAGGTCCACTGAGTCAGACAGGTGGGAAAAAGCAAGGTCCTGGCACAGGGGACCCCAGTCCCCGACCCTACAAGGGCCCTTACGTGGCTCTGCAGAGGTCGAACTTGTGGCAGCTCTGGATGTGGTACATTAAGTCTCCTCCGTTGAGATACTCCATCACAAAAAAGAGGTTCTCCTGCAGAAAGACACGACAATCCCACTGTGAGCTTCTTTAAGATGGGAGACAAGGACTGTTTTTTTATTGGGGTATAGCTGCTTTACAACATGTTTCACATGGTTTCTGCTCTACAACAACGTGAATCAGCTGGATGCACACCTGTATCCCCTGCCCCTCAGACCTACGCACATCCCATCCCTCTCAGTCACCACAGAGCGCCAAGCTGAGCTCCCTGTTGTATGTACACAGTAGCTTCCCACTAGCTATCTACTCTACACATCGTCGTGTATACATATCAGACCCAGTCTCCCAATTCATCCCAACCTCCCCTTCCTCTCTTGTGTCCGTATGTCCATTCCCTACCTCTGTGTCTGTGTTTCTGCCTTATAAAGAGGATCATCAGTACTGTTTTTCTAGATTCCACACATACGCATTCATATATGATGTTTTTCTCTTTCTGACTTACTTTTCAAAGGAGTGAGTTTCAGTATTTCAGAGGAACTGATTCTGTCTTGACATCCCTTTCGAAAAGGCTGGCAAGATAGTTCAGTTGATCTGCAGCATTTCTGAACCCCAAGGAGTCTGGGAAGTTGGGGGTGTGGTGGGTGTGGCACTGGATGCCTGAACGCGCCGACTTGTGGAGCAGAGGGGGCACAACGTGAGGGAGGGGCCACCTGGACCTGCCCACCTGACCGCGGGATGGTCTCGGGCTCTTCAGTGGGTGCTGACTGTCCGCCTACCGAAGCTGACAAGGCTGTGGGATGGTAAAAGTGGGGCTCCCGCAGTGGCTCAGACGGTAAAGAATCTGCCTGCCAATGCAGGAGACATGGGCTCCGTCCTTGACTCGGGAAGCTCCCCTGGAGGAGGAAAGGGCACCCCACTCCAGTACTCTTGCCTGGGAAATCCCATGGACAGAGGAGCCTGGTGAACTACAGTCCACGGGGTCGCAGAGTCGGACATGACTTACCAAATGAACACGCACGCCCGAGCACCCTGATTTTGAGAGTCCTCATGAACCACGGAACTAGTAATCTATTTGGTGTGGGAATGGCTGGCCTGTCTGCACATAAATCTGCACCTGTGAACCTCACCCAGGTGATTTTTTTAAACAGAATTAACTACAGAAGGTCACAAAATAGAGGTCAGAGGACGTCCTCCTGTTTAAGTCAGCTACTGGTTATGCCAGTGGAGCTTGGCCTGGGGGCAAATACCTCTGTGCGCCAGGTCCTGACTGCCTTAACGTCTAAGTCAGTGCCGCCATGAGCCAAGGGCCTAGAAGCAGAAAGGGTTAGGACGGAGTGGGCTGGCACGATTCTGAGCTGACAAGAGTGCAGGTGAATCACTTTTCGACTGGCCTTTGTATTTTGTTTCTGAATCGTGTGTTTTGTTCTCTTATAAAGAACTCAAGCAGGCCTGCTCAGAGTGTATTATTTCTGATTTCAGAAAGAGTCCAAACAAAGAATTAGAATTCAATAACCTCTAGGATTTGCCCCCGAGTCCGAGCATTCGGCGAGTCTTTCATTTTGCCTACTTAGCTGGCAAAACCATACTGTTTCGTCAATGAAAAAGTAATTTTACGAGAGGAAGGTTGCCTTACTTAGGACGCTCCCTCCAGCAGGGGAGTGGCTAAGGTTCTTATTCGTGACACAAGAAAACATTGAGCATCTTTCCATCCGATCAGTGAAGCCAGTTTTATTTTTCACTTAAAACCTTTTTTTTGGGCGGTGATGCGTGGCTTGTAGGATCTCAGTTTCCTGACCGGGAACTGAATGTGGGCCACCAGCAGTGAGAATGCCGAGTTCTAACTGTGGACTGTCAGGAGGTCCCTGAAGTCAGTTTGCAGTGGGGTTTGCCAGTACCCTGATTATGGGCACTAAAAGAAGTGATACAGTGAAGAACCTCTGGCTAACAAGAAAGCATTTGGTACATCATTCAATAATGTTTGTCTCTCAGCTCCCCAGTTTGCAAATATATCTACGGAATACATGCTGTTCTGTGCCTGGCCCACAAAAGCAAGAGAGTCAGAGTTAGTTTCTGCTTTGCTGTGGTTCTCTGACAACGGAAGGCAATAATTAATGCCGATATGCTGGCAGACTGAAGGCAGGAGGAGGAGGGGACAACGGAGGATGAAATGGTTGGACGGCATCACTGACTCAATGGACAAAGAGACTGAGCAAGCTCCGGGAGACGGTGAAGGACAGGGAAGGCTGGCGTGCTGGAGTCCATGGGGTCACCAAGAGTGGGGCACGACTGAGCGACTGAACAACCACATGCTGGGAACAGGCTCAGGGGAAAAGAATCCTCCTGCAGGGCAGGAGCTGCAGGAGATGTGGGTTCAGCCCCTGGGTCGGGAAGACCCCCGGAGGAGGAAATGGCAACCTACTTCAGTATTCTTGCCTGGGAAATCCCATAGGCTGACGGGTTACAGTCCATGGGGTCACAAAGAGTCAGACACGACTGAAGTGACCAAGCATGTGTACACACATGCCGTACACAGATGGGTATTCAAAGCTCCGTGGTCCTCTCTTTTTTCCCTTTAAAAAAGGTCTTTATTCTTATAGAGTCATTTATTTTTCAAACCTTTTATTGGAGTATTTGCTTTACCATGTTGTAAAGCAACAATATTAGTTTCTACTGTATAGCAAAGTGTAAAGTCGGTTAAATATTGAGTACTTTCAAAACTTCAGCACAGCAAAGGATTCTGTGTGTTTGTGTGCAAAGTACTGTATTTTCCAGAGCATCTACAAATATCTTTCATCACTTGGCTGATGGGATGTATTTTGTTCTTCTGTGTTTTGGGTTGACTAAAAAGTTCATTCAAGTGGACCCGTAAGATGTTATGGAAAAACCCAAATGAATTTTTTGCTCAACACAATACTCATACAAATATGAGAGACCAATTTAGGGGGCCTCTAACATCCAAATTCCTTTGTATTCATCTTCTTTGTGAAATATTTATATAAAATTTAGCTGTAAAAGCACTTGATACTAGTAAAAAGGAGGAAGGCAGGTCACTGCTACATACAGGAATAGAAGTACTTAGACACTTCGCTAATCTAAGAATTGGGAAAAAAAAATCATTTTTCACATGAGAGATATGTATTCATCTCAGTGGTTTCCAAAGCCAAGTCCCTGAAATCATTAAGGTCTAAATTTAACCTAGATATTGCGCTTGAACCTCTACCTTGGTGGATCCCACCCTTGTTACTTACTCTGTCGATGCCTTGAGTGTGGACGAGAGTCAGATTGGAGGCGAGTCCCCTTCAGAGGGCTGACTACCTCTGCAAGATTTACATCTTTACTTCTACTGAATGTCCCCCCAAAAGCAAGGTTTTGGTTTGGAATTATAGACTGAGCAAGTTGCTTCCTGGACATCCGTATCTCTGGGGTGGGGAAGAAGAGCATGGAGCCCGGGTCAGGGCTGCCCACACCAGGAGCTCACAGAACCAGTGAGTGACCCAGCCTAGGGCACAGCTCGCATCCCCGAGGCACACCTGCTTGGCACCCGGGCAGGGGGCATCGAGATCCCCCGTTGCTCCACATGCACCCCGCGTCAGTGTGGTCAGGAGAACATCCAGTGTCAGGTATGCTTGTAATTTAGAAGGCTGGAGTCACTCTGAATCTGGAGTACTTAATTTATTCCCTACTTGTTTACCGGGCCACAAGCTAAAACATCCTAGGAAACAGGTTTAGTTCCTTTTTTCAAAAAGAATAAGCCATCAAAGAAACCCAAAGATAATCATGTGTACTTCCGATATCTAAATGCTGGGTGCATATGTGTGTGAGGGAGGCAGGGCTCCCTGCAGGCCAGCAGACTCGTTCATTACTAAGGCCTATTTATATTTCTACCCTAAGTTCCAATTAGTAAAGCTCACTGCCTTCCATAGATTGGTTAAAACGTGTCAGAAATAAAGTGCCCAAGTTTCTAGAGGCTTGTACCTGCACCAGAACTTGGGTTCAGTTGGTATTTTCTGGCTTAATGGTCCCACAGGGTCATCTTGTAGTAACTAACAAATTCTCTTCTTGGGTAACATGTGCTAGCAGGGATTCAGTTCATGAATTTTAAAATTGTTTCCCCTGATATGACTAGGTCTCTACTAAGGGGAAATAATGTAGTTAGGCTGATGGACTTTGCTCCCAAACTGCTGTCCTGCTTGACAGTTGTGTGACCTCTGGTGTCTCGGTTATCCCTGCAGGGGTGACCTCGATTTCCTTGTTTGTAAAATGGGGATGATAATAGTGTCTACTTTAGAAGGCTGCTATGAAGAATAAATTATCTAAAATACATAACATGCCTAGAAATGATTTAAAATATGTAACATGCCTAGAACATGGATTTGCACACACCAAATGCTTTATAAACATCAGCTGTTATTTATGACTATAATTATTATAATTATTATAGATAATATACATGCATGTTGAGAAATATACATTCACAAGCACAGAAGGGTTCCTGGAACAGACTGAATTTTAACATAAAAGACAAGTTTTAAGGAATACAATTTTGATGTGAAAATGATCTACTCTGCTGAAGATTTTAAAGTTATCTTTCCCCCCTTCATTAGCAATGAGAAATTAATACTGAAAAAAGATGAAATACTCAAAAATCCTACTTCTGGATACCTTTGAATGATATAGCTAGAAATGACTCTCCTCTTTAATGCTTTTGTGCATTCTCTAATTTTAAAAGTATACTTTGGTATAATTACTTTTATAACTAGGGAAAATACTAATGAAATTTCCTTAAGAATTTATAAGTGAGTTTTCCATCACCTGATGTTTCTATGGTATAGACTCTCTGTATTTACCATGGGGGTTTGCTATTTGATGTGGACATCTCATTTCAGTATTTGATGTAAAGTAAGACGCTTACTCCTTGGAAGGAAAGTTATGACCAACCTAGACAGCATATTAAAAAGCAGAAACATTACTTTGCCAACAAAAGTCCATCTAGTCAAGGCTATGGTTTTTCCAGTGGTCATGTATGGATGTGAGAGTTGGACTGTGAAGAAAGC